AGGAAAACAATAAAGCATCACTTCGAGCTACTTATATCACTGCCTTAATAAGTTGTCTGCATGTGTAACTAACAAAGGACAGTGACCAGTTGTACCTATGATATCAGAGGGCATCCTGAAAAACACTCATCACTAAGAATAGAAAACTTCAAATGACTTTTGTATCAATCCTTTTGAATTTCATCTGGCTTGGAATTTCAGTAGCCTTTAGCATCCTTCAAGCATTTCATGAAGTACATGTACCAATTTGCAGGTATAAAATGTTTGAAACAGATTGCTTGTCCCAAATAAAAAAAAATAAATTTTCTGCCAATTAATAGTGTCTTAAGCAGTTGATTGATATCACAGTTCCACTGGCATAGTATTTGTAGTTGAATGGTGCCATTTTAAGAAAATTTTCACAAAAACCTGGAAAACATCAGATGGAAAGGAGCATCTACAAGAAAAACAGTGAACACTTTCTTGAATATTAACAATGATATGTCATGTCCATTTACATCCTTTATATAAACTAATTAACCAAATCATAGAGAATTATGTACAAATTTGTCCTTTTGTGTATTCATAGTGTATTAAATTGATTTTACTAATTTATAAATATTTATGTTTTTCACAGTCATTAACATTTACAAATAGAAGTACATATAACATGAAAATATTACATGTTTAGTAGGATAACGTGAAATTGTTATACCACAAAAACCATCGCTGACCTCGCCTCGGTCAGCAATGGTTTTTAAGGGGTAAGAATTTCACATCACCCAAAATAAACAGGTAATATTTTTCTTGTTATAGAATGCATTTTAAAGAAAACAACAAGGTGAAACGAACGTGCAAACATTCTGCACAGTTAACATTTTTTATTACTGTATATACTGTTACCCGTAGTCATGCATTTTCAACCATTGGGATGTAATGTCTGGCATGCAGTATGGTAATAGTACTTGTTAACAAATGTTTTTTAAACCAATCAAATTTGACTATTTAACATGAAAGTGTATAACAAATTTATCTAGCATAATGGTGTTGTAAGTAACCATGGAATGTGAGCTTGTGTAAACTTGATCCTGAAGTATTAAGTTTTGAATATTGTAATAAAGAATTGTGCAGCCTAAACTTTAACTTGTACCTGATTTAAATGGAGTTCCGTCATTAACAAGTTGGAAGTTGTTACACTCTCCATGAGTATAATAACTGGGGGATCTGCTTCATTTGCAGACACATGGATAACACATTCACTCAAAGCGCTGTCTCTTTTTCAGTACCTTGTGCAGCCCTGTAATATGTTATGACAAATGGAGAAAAATGCCTATTTCAAGAAAAAAAAAGTCTGTCTCATAATTGTAGAAGTATTGGAAAAGGGGGGGGGGGGGTGGTCATGAAACTTAGCAGTTAATACAGTTTGTATGTGTAAATGAAAAAAATGCCTTCTTCTTTGTAGAATAAAAAATAATTATTTTTTGAGTGTATGTGACCATTTTTATTTCTGAATAGACAGGGTAGCCTACAGAATGACCAATTTTGAGCTGACCATTTTTATTTATTGTAGTAATTAAATTAAAAAAATGTGTTTTCTACAAAGATCATATGTTATCGACGTGGTATTCAACTTTGTATTCCCATGGTCGATGCATTTGGGTACATCTATTTTTTTATTTGCTTTCAATGACATCGCATTGAATATCCCAATCTCATGTATACCTGTCCAATACTCCAAATTATACCATATTGTAAGCTAAATCAATGCTTTAAATTTATGAAACCAATCTGTAGATAAGCGTACCTTTTGAATACAGACGATTTTAGAATAAAAACGATTTAATTTTCCCTTTATGCTTAAGTATGTTGGCTAATCTTGGCCCCCTCGGAATAGCTTGTGTTTACGTTATGTAATGAAAAAATAAAGCAATTAAACGCTATTTACCTGCATCTATCAATCCATTTTCTCCTCTTCTTTGCAACAATCGTGAATCAAAACAAACTACAAGTTTAATAATTCCACTGCGATGCTTACAACTTAAGTAATCCATTGTCTCCAAGAACGCTGAGGTACCCGGGAGTTATAAAACGAAAGTGAAAGTCAACGAGACTTACAGACCCTTTGAATTTTCTTATAGTATACATGATAGATAAGTGTAATAAATATAATTTGTGAGCAAAACAAACTACAAATTCTACTGGGCTGCTTAAAACTAAATGCGAAGCTGTAATCCATTGTCTGCAAGAATGGTAAGTTATAAAACGAAAGTGAAAGTAAATGAGAATTAAAGGCTATAGTCTTGGGAGCAGTTGTTATTTCATAAATAATTTGAATAGGTGATATCACCTATTGGAATAAGTGATATCACCTATTCAAAATGATTAAGTGATATCACCTATTCGAATAAGTGATATCACCTATTCGAATAGGTGATATCACCTATTTGATTTGAATAGGTGATATCACCTATTCGAATAAGTGATATCACCTATTCAAAAGGAATAAGTGATATCACCTATTCGAATAAGTGATATCACCTATTCGAATAGGTGATATCACCTATTCGAATAGGTGATATCACCTATTCGAATAGGTGATATCACTCATTCAAATTGAATAGGTGATATCACCTATTCGAATAGGTGATATCACTTATTCGAATAGGTGATATCACCTATTCGAATAGGTGATATCACCTATTCAGAAGCTGAATAGGTGATATCACTTATTCGAATAGGTGATATCACCAATTGAATAGGTGATATCACCTATTCGAATAGGTGATATCACTTTTTGGCAGTAAATACCAAAACGGCGCCTCATACATTATACCCCACGTGCAATGATTCCTAGGTCATTATTGCTGTAAATGGTACTTTTTGGAGTCATTATTGAGTTTAAAAGCCTTCTAACAAGCCAATCAAAATTGAGTATTCTTAATAGAGGTATACTAATAGCTAGTGGAAATCTCCTAAGACTGGGCAGTCATTTGAACAAAGAACAAAAACCCATTGCTATGACCAATATTTATGTGATGGATTGTCGTAAAAAATCGATTTTTTTACATAGCTGATATGACCTCTGTGATAATACCATGATACGTGTATGCAAATACTTATTTCTTCTTACGATTCCTATAGCTCTCTGATTGGCTGAATCTCAACATCCTAGAAATCACAAATACCCTGGCTACTGTAGTTCTAAGCACAAATTTTTGTGGAGAAAAAATTTCGAAGATTTATGAATTCAAATGATTTCATGGGGATTTAATTTGTTTAAAGAGCCAAATAAAAATTTCTTTTTGAATTTTTTTTCGTTGTAAATTGTTAACCACGAAATAAATGAAAGGTTCACTTCTATATAAATAGGGATCTGACCTATAGGGCCGGGCTTGGTTTTTTTTCTCTGCAAAAAGCTTGTCGATTTCCGTTCCGATTAATGACATTAGGCTGAATACATGTAAAAATTTGTTTTTCATAAATCTTTATTTCAGTGAGTAGAGGTAGGAGGAAAACTTTCATTGATATTCTGAGTTTGTTATCTCCAAATGTAATAATTGATATTTTTCTTTACTTCTCATTGTACATAATGGTAATGTCTACTGTCTCTGGAATTCTATTCTTTATGTCTAGGCTATTTATTTTACAACACATTTCCGTTGGATATAATAAAAACATGCCATTAATGTGTGCAAATTATATAGGCCTAAATGAAATCCAAGGGAGTACAGTTACTGATATATGAAGCCCTAATTTTTCAGAACTTAAGGTCTTAGAACATTGACGAAAAACAAAAGTACATGTATGTTATTCTAAATATACATGTATTAAGCTCAAAAAATTCAAGCAATACGTAACATACTACATGTAACCCAGACAAGCACTAGTAGCACATGCAGACAGAATACAAGCAATGTGATTAATTTCTAAGGAATATATACAATTGAAATTCATCGCAGCTCAATGCTGCCGAGAATACCTGTAGCGAGTAACACAGAGTGAGTTATTCTTGTCCTCGGAGAAAGTGTGCTTATAAATGTACTGAGATTTGTTCCGCCTGACTGACAACTGTGCATTGGATTGTTACGATTTGATCTCTCTCTAGTGTTTCTTATATCAAGAATGAGAATGCATAAAGGATAGATAATTGAAGGAAAATAAACAAGCCTATAAAAAATTTAAAATAGTCTTTGAAAAGACGAAAATTTAAAACTATAAAAGTGTGGCACCAGGTGGATTCGAACCCCCGACTTTAAAAAGAATATATCCACGATATAATGGTCAGCTCATATATCAACTGAGCTATTTTGACTATAGAGTTGAATGGTATAAATTAGAAGCAGATTGACAAAATCAAGTTTACTTATTTTTTTGTAGGTTTTTTGTGAATTTCGACCCTAGGGCAGGGGTGCCCCTAAAAAAATCCTATCTTGAATTATTCCTTACATCCCAACCTATCAAAATATCACAATTTTATTTAGGGGCAGGCCTGCCCTGAAGGACTTCTAGGCCAAAATTCATGCAAAAATCAACGCTTTAACGGACAAAATGGTGTTTCGGCCAACTTTGGAGGTTTATTCTAAAGTTGTAAATAGTAAATTTTAGTTGTAAAATACGAATGTGAAAAATTTAGACATATATACGGTAGAAAACAACAAATAAAGATTGATTTTTAAATGTCACTTTTTCCGGGAAATTGTTCTCTCCTATAGGTCAATTCTTTTGCAATAGTGAATACATCCTTTAATCCCAACAAATATTTCTGCTTTCACAGTATTCACCTGCACCGAACCTGCCAGGTGAATATAACTTTTGATTTTTGCTACCACGGTAAATGTGAAATTATTTTCTTTCTTCAAAACTAGCTTAAAAATGCATATCCACCACCAATACTTTCACATACATGTCATGCGCGTGTTTATTCTCTGATAAGCTGTCTATTACAAATCGATCTAACAACCCACCTTCCCCGATACAAAATAGGATTTGACAATGTGTAAAAACTTAACAAAAACAGCATCTGAAAATTCGAACTAATTTTAATTTCATTTATTTGTCAGATGTAAAATAAAAATTGTAAAGTACAAATTTTTTTTAACTTGTAACATAGAACTTGCACTGTCACATTTCATCTATGAAATAGGTAAGAAACGTGTAAACACCGAGATAAAGTTGATTTTTTTTTCTATGGATGTGATGAGATAATAAAAGTCACGATTTACAGCTGTACAACCAATGGCACTAAGAAACACAGAAGAAGAACAATAAACAAATATGTCTAACTTCAGCATTCACTGTGGTAGGTTTTGTTATAGGTATCCTTCTTCACGTATTTGTCTTGGAATTCTCTACTTAGATTCACTTTTACTCTTCTCGCCGTCAGTCTGAAAGAGATAGGTCACATATCATATTCTGTTTAATAGAAATAGTTTAACTTAAATGTATGAAATATTATACTCGTAAGTAACATCAATGCAATTTTTAACAATTTGGCATGTATCTTTCCACATTCACATATTCAGTTTTATGATGTAGGTAAAAAGTTTGATTATATATTATTCTTATGTACGGCAGCTTAGCGAGGGGGGCTAGTCTCAAACTTTTTACTGAAGTTTTAAAAATAAATGCATTTAAAAATTCATCCTGGGTCACAAAAACACAAGATGAATGAGTCTGACTGTCAAAGTTGAATACATTAGCTGGATTCCCTCAAAAATGTAAATTTCATTTGCAAGGATTATAATATTTACAAGTATTGTTAATTACAGTGTTCAAAGCATAGTTTAGTCATTAATTTTTTAGAGTATGAAGAAAACATGTTGGAAAATCTTACTGGAGCAAGAAAAAAATATTCCACTGACATATCTTTGGTATTAAATGTAGATCAAAATGTCAGAATTGCAACAATCTGGATGTAATATTTGGTGGGTCAAATGAAAACATTTTCCAACCTCAGAAATTACCTATTATATCTCCATGTTTTCACTCGATATTATTCCTATTGTTAATAATATCAAAATTTATTATTTTTAACACGTTGATCTACTATGGTTGTGTTATATCTTCTTCACCAAAGTAAATTCTATGTGTAATAGGTATCCTTGAACCTTAATTTGTTTGTGGTGATATAATCTGCTACACAGGCAGTATCAATAGGAGAGGTACATTTGATAGAAATATATTACATATAAGGAAACAACTGCAACAGGAATCTTTCCAATGACAAACATTACCCTAATACTCTTAAATATGTTCAAACTGGGGATCCTGAACCATGACTTTTTATAAGAAAGTAATCCGAAAACTTATAACACACATATTAAGATATTTATCTGCGGACAGATTGTATGGGATAGATGTTAGAAACAGATTTACCATAGAGAATTGGTCAATGTCGGACATATCCCCTGGGAAATGGGATCAGTCGTCCCCTGGGGGTTGGGGCACACTGCATCGCTCTGGCATCTTTTCTCCAAAAGCTTCACATTCTTGATCAAGGGGAAGCATGCCATGAGCCATTTTATTATCCCACTCTCCAATTTCCTCAAAACCATCAGAATAGAGATTTTGAGGCTGAAAAATGGTTGGTCAAGATTTGGCTTTGTGCAGACTTGGGATTAGTGGAAATGTTAATTTGATACAGGATCTCTCTTTCTCTCTTTTTGGGGTAAATTTGAAAATAATCCCCCAGAATAAGAAATAAGATAGGTGCTGTATGTTAAAAAATCCCAAAAGACACCCATTACATAGACAGACACAAATAGTTTTGAGTATTTTCTGTCACATCTGAGGAAAGAGAACAAAACTAATTATGCATAAATGGCAAACAAATGGTAAAAGAAAGTCCTGAAACAATTTCATCTTTAACTTAACTAATAAAATACCAATCTAATTAGATCTTGGATTCACTCCATTGTCTAATCCTGGGATTGTGACATACATGTAACAAAAGTTGAGAGTGGATACAATATCTAATTTTAATTGGATTCTAGTAAACACATGTACCATTTCAAATTTATACTAGTGCATGTGTATATACCGGTATATAAACATAACTGAACAAGGACACACACAAGTTAGCAGCTTCAGGACATTTAAATGGTTTAGCAATTACTCAATAGTCAAGAATTAAGAAAGATTAAAGCAGGAAAGCCAAGATTGTTCAACTTAAGGGTAAAATTAAAAATTCTGTACCTTTTTTGCGTCCTCGGCAGCAAATTTGTCGAACATTCCCTTATATTTATGAGCCTCCTTTTTGTCAAACTGCTTGATCTTCTGTTCACAAATTTTTGCCTGGTTCCTGGCAGCTTTATTGTCAGGCTCTAACTCTAAAACCTTCTCAAAATCCTTCTTTGCTAAGTCAAAATCATTTTCAGCAAAGTATGCCTGAAATTTTAAAAACGTTATCAAAGTTGATATGGCTCTTACTTTTATTTGATTGATTAAAACGGCAACAGGGATTTTACTTTTTTTTAGTATTAAATTGAACATTATCCCCAGAAATGATATTCAAATTATTTTTCCTTGGCATTTTACATTTACATATATAGCCAATTATTTCTTTGCCATAATGTACGCTTATGCGCTCACCCTCCCCAACCCTTTAAATATTGCCATTTCCATTAAATCTCTAAGCTTTCAGGTTGCCCTTCAGGCAAATTTTGTAATAAAATATATTGCATTTATAATGAATATATTTAATTTTTCACTTGTAACTTGTCAGTACTATTCTGCTTACCTGCCCCCTCCTGAAGTAGGCCTTAACACACTTAGCATCCAACTCCAGAGCTTTATTACAGTGGTCCCTAGCCTTAAAGTACTGCTCCATCTTCAGCTGACACATGGCCATGTTCAGATGAGCTAGCACAATGATTTCTTTCCTCTTTTCTTCATCATCACCTTTCAGTGTTGTTTCAAACTCCAAGTTCTTCTGACATTTATCATAGTATTTCATTGCAATTTTGTAGTTGCCTTCCTGTATATACAATAGGAACAGTCTGTTATTGCATTCAATTGTACACATTTGCTTCTGAAATGTGGTTTATTTCATTTTGGTTAAGTCCCTAAGATTTAATAATTCATCAAATAAAATAAGATGCAATGTTGAAAACATTAAGGCATATGTCTATCAACTGCCACGGCATAATTGTATCATAGCTAAATGTGCATGTAGTTGATATGTAACCACCTCTTAAACACTTTGATTTCCTTTTGATAAAATTATACACGATTATACATGTAATTGAATATTAAAAATTTTAGGTTAAGAATTGTGGATTTCAATGTACATTTTTGTCTGAGTACCAATCTTGGTATTTGATAATTTGTCCTTGATGAGTACCAAGTTAATTGGGTACTGGCTGACAACCCTGACTACAAATATTCAAATAATATGGCCATATTTATACAATAATTGCAAGTTTTACCTTGAAAAATTTTGTTCCCTTTGTTTTAGCCATGACAGACTGCTCCAGTTTCTCATGGGGCTCCATTTCCCAGCTCTCTTTTGCCTAATAAGACACATAAAAATATTCTTTTGTAGTTATATATAGAGAAAACATTGAGAAACAAATATTATTTATTGGCTACTTATGTTATTCACTTATTCACATACACTTCAAGTTTAGTATTAAAAACATCAATGTCTTGAATACCATGGATATGTAGCTGCAGAACTGTAGCGTTATGGTTTTATATTTTATTCTTTGATCATAATGCTACAAATCCCTTAATGCAAATATTATAAGATTTTCTGCACATGGTTGGGGAGAACTTCTCCACTTTCCAGAATTGGTCAATCAACTACCTTTCACTCCCTAATTCTAGACAAATTTTTAACAAACCTATATATTTTATCCACCTAAAAAATATAGGAATACAGTTTGGTTAGAAATATACATTATATCTAGAATTAGGGATCGAGTGAAACATAGTCGATTGATCAATGCTGGAAAGTGGAGAAATCTCCCCAACCGTGCGCAGAAAATATTGCACCATATTTGCAATACAGGATCTGTAGTGTTATGATCAAAGAATAAAATATAAAACCATAACGCTACAGTTCTGCAACTATATGGATATGCTGAAGTGAGTTGGAAGTCCCATCCACTTTTTCGTTATGTATTTTAACTTCTACATCTCAAAACCTTACATATCTCATTTTTTGGTCCAATTGAGGTTGAGATAATGAGGTTTGACTGCATCTCATTGTAAGCCACTATGATGATTTCAGATCTTACATTGCAGATATTAAGAAAAATATATATAATTATTTGACCACATACATTTTCAAAGCTTAGTAGTTCTACATCATACACAAGGTCTGCATTTGGAGGTACTCCTAGCTCCGAATTCCCTTTAGATCCATAAGCCATACTTGATTTGATGTCTAGACGACATTTTTCTCCCTCTTTCATTCTCTTAATAGCTATTTCTAATCCTTCTATGACATTAGACATGACTCCATCCCCGATACTAAATTCTACCTGTCGATCTTCAAATACATTCTCTCCATGTCTACCAACATAGTGTACTGTAATTTGAAGAAGATAATTAAAAAACATTTATTCTTAATCATCAGAATACACCAATTTTTTTTTTAGATCTGGTTACTGTATCTACCTTAATTCTTGAAAATACCAAGGTTTCAATGTCAAAAAACTATAAGTTATTCAGTATCAAAATTAAATCCTCTCTGCTTCAAAGGTAGAATGTTAAATGATTATAATTTACTTAGAAATATAATTTTTGAATCGGTTTACATGTACCTACCCTTAACCTGTGCTCCTTCATTTGGATTTTTCCAACCTTTTCCTTTTGTAGTTATATGTCGAATAATGGACCCATCAGCCTTCAGTGATAAATCTTCACCTAAATGACAGAGGTAGGAGTTACTAGCTGTGTCAGATATTATTGTATATATAGGAAGATACCCTACTATGAATAACTATGATTGTAAAAGGTCACCCATTTCTTTGCCAGTCCTGCTGCAAATCTATATAATTTTAAATTGCAACAGAACGAAAGGTTAAACAATATTTGCAAATTTGACACATGCAATCATAACAATTGTTTCTACCTTTCCAACTGAAGAGTTCCACTTCAAAAATCAGGGTAGCATTGCCTGGAATCTTTGGTAAAGACCCTGTTTCTCCATAGGCATACTTTGGTTTGCAGGTGAACTTTGCTAGTTCTCCTTTTTTCATGGTTGCAATTCCCAAATCCCATGCTTTGATAACACTCCCTAAAATTACAGACCATTAAAGGGTATAAACGTTGATAATCATAAAGTATCAGCAACTTATATAAATCAGTAAAACTTCATCTCTCATTATTACAGTATCAATTAAAATTTTTTATGATGGGAATTTTGATGCATTCACATTTTGCATATTTTGAATGTAAATCTTAACAAAATGCACACCATATGATGTTGAAAAATGTTTAATTACCATTTAATTTAAAAATATTATTTCATATAAGTTTTATTTGTAATTGTGTATTGTGTTTGTGCTACCTATTTTACGCATGAAGAAATATGCATGGTTTCAAAGTATCGATCTATTGAACTTACACAGTTGGTTATCAACTGTTGGAGACATTAAAGGACTTTTGTTTGTGATTGAATAAAAATTGAGTTGGTATTGATAAAATAGATTCTAAATTAGCAAAAAATAAAGACTCCATTAACGTACAGGATTAAAATATTAATGCAAGTACATGTTGATTAATCAAATGAGTAGTGAGTGTATAAAACTAAGAACAGCTGTATTAAACATATAGACTGGTACGTAAAATGAATTGACATCACAAGAATTGCTTTGGTTTCATTTTATTTCGCATGTATAATAACAATATATTTAATTAAAATGCTATCTAAAATATGATACACAAATGTATATATAAAGGTCAAGTCTCTGCCCCCTTTTAACACACTGCTCAACGCGTTATCGGCTATTCGGTTGTTATCGGACATTCGGTGCAAGGAAGGCAAAGTTTAGGAAACATAGGTGATTTTAAATTTCTTAATTCAATGATAATTGCGTACTTCAGCAAACAAAGTTTGTGATCTTAGGCAGATAAATGATTATACTTTCAGCAGCAAAAAGAACAAACCAAATCACTCTCTTTCTAGAGATATACAGCTCTTTCAAGTGATATTTTATTAAAATTTAGGAATATTTCTTCACATTTTGGCTTTTGTAGAAGTCAAAATCAGATTATTCTATAAAACAAAATGGTTTATTTATTCTATGGACAATCATATACCTGTAGATAAACAGACTGAGATCAAAAATCCAAATTAAGGGTTAGTTAACAGGCATCTAAAATGTCTTGTTAGGTTAAAACATGTTATCGTCAACAAGGTTGATGTTGCCGGATAATTCGGTTTTTACGGGTGTATGTTATCGGAAACTCAGGTTAAAAAGTTTCTTTCAGCTTTAGAAATAGATTGGGAAAAAAGTAATTTATAATCTGTTAATCCTTGAAAATAGCAGACGTAATGTGTTTTAAGGATATGTGATCCTCAGCCATGAAGGATAACTCTTAAAATTATTATTTAATTGAAAAAGTCTCAACATGAAGCTTGAAATTGAAAGCTATTCATGCAACAATTTCCATTTTATGCATCTTAATATGATTTAAGGTTTTTGAAGTCTTAGAAAGGGACTTGTAAAAAGTTGACATTTGTTTCTTATAAAAGTAAAAAATAAATACAGTTTTAGATGAATAGGATTTTCTTGAGTCTAACCTTAAACACCAATTGCTTTTTAGCATAATATGAAATTGGAATGGATTTGTGATGTCTTGCAATTATAGCACAAGCTTTTTACACTATGTATTATATAAATTTTGGAAGAAAATAGAAGACCTATACATGTAAAACCAAAGAAGTATTTAAAAAAAACATCCAAATTTCTCTAAATGCCTGCATGGATACCTATAATTTTTAAACTTAAAATATATTTGTTGATCAGTTTTCAATTACAAAATGCATAGTTGATGTTTCTATTCGTCTTCTGAATATATCGGAGATTTGATAATTTTCCATATGTAGTTTGATAAACTATAATGATTTACTTTGAAGAAATACAGTGGGTAAATATACATTAATTTGTGAATTCAGAGATATTTTTGTGAGCATTTTCAATTACATAACTGCTGAGGATCTGAATACCTTAAGTAATTTTTGAAAATTTTCCAGCTTTCTATTGCTATTTTGTTTTGATACTTGTACATGTATATAAATAAGAATAATTATTATAATTATGATTTTATAATATAATTCCCTATCTGTTCAATCATTTTTCTGTTATCCATTAAGGCCATTCCAAGTTTTTTCTATGTTTAGCGTCCTCCTTGATTTTTGGCACCCCATTCCAGAAAAAACAAACAAAATCAGGAGTCCTAAAATTGATTATTTTGGTCAAAATCTTGGAAATTTGTTAAGTTATTTAAATATATTTCTCTAGTATGTCATATTATGTATATTTCAAGCATTTAATACCTTGATTTTACAAAACAAAAGATATTTCTATCAGAAAAATAGATTCATGAAATCAAATCTTTTGAATGATATCATTTTTATTTCTGTAAACTCTGTTTTTTAATTTTTTGGCATGTGTGTTTTTTGCGAATAGATAGGTAGGTTTTTGAAAGATGGGTGGACGCTAAACAGAGAAAAAACTTGGAATGGCCTAAACATTATATATATTACATGTATATAACAAATCTATATTTGCTTTAGTCAGTCACATCTTCCGATCTAAGACTGTAGGTCGTTTAAATTCCACAAGCCTTAGGTTAAAATTTCACGATTTTTCAAAAAGTACCAATTGCCATGATTTTAATTTCACGCTGCAAGAAATTAATTTAAATTTCGTATAAGCATTTAAACGATTTTAAAAACTAATGATAGCATTCATGATGGTTTTAACTTCGTGGAAAAATGATGAATCGTGAACATAGTGAAATTAAAATCATCGTGATTATTTGCCAATCTACAGTAAGTCATTTAGTGCCCAAATGAGCATAGGAGGCTAAATGTTTTTATGTCCAATATGGAGCGATAGCATTGTTTGTGTCAAACTGTTTGATTTTAAGGTTTGAAATAGAGGAAAAAGAATGAGGAACATATCGCAAAGAAATATTTCCTTATAAATTAAATTAAAAAAATTTTCCTTAAAACATGAACATCACTTTTTTTTTGCGGGGGGGGGGGGGGGGGGGGGGGGCTGGTCGATTCATATGTTTAACTTTTTCTACAAACAGTGATCCGCGTTTTCAATGAAGGGGGGGGGGGGAGATGCCAAGGTTTTTTTTTATTTGCTTGAGTATAAAAGTTCAATAACTCTGCAAATTCCAGGTGAGGTTCGAACCTTCCCAACCCCCAACCCCCCTTTCCAAGCATGAGCTCCACCTACACATCGAATTATCTACGGGTTTTCCATTTGGCCGATAATGATACAGAGCACACTGTGGGTGTGACCGATCGACAGGGGGTGTTTATTCCTTCTTGGCCACTGAACCAACCTCTGATGTTTTTAGAGGTCCGTGTTTTCTCTGTTCCAAATGTGTATTGTTTCAGTGGACTTTTGAGCTTTATTACTGTTCGTTATCTTCATAATTTCCTTCCATCAGTAACGCTTTTTGAAAACTAGTAAAGTCAATCTCTTTTTTTTCCTCAAAAGTTAGAATTCTAGGTCATATTTGGCTTAACACCCTTTTGGGAAATTCATTAAACCACCCTTGAGTATAGATTCTTTAATTGCTTTATACCAAACTAAAACATGTATGTACTTTGTACTAACAAAAGGCGGTTAAGGGTAGATCAAAAATGCAAAGTCAACAAATAAAGACGAAGCATTGAGCAAAACAAAGATAAAAACGAAGAACAGCGCGTAACTGAATTCAAGCACAGAAAACTAAGAATAAATTACTGTGAATTCAGCAATTATTTCGAGTCTTTTATATTGCGAATAATGCAACGTAAAAATCGCAATAATTAAATCTGGAATCTGTATTTTGGTTACAATAGAGATGTATAATTCTAAGGTTTTAAAACTTATACCAAATTTTCGAACAGGTTAAGATCACACACATTTCAGTGATTATGAGAAATGCCAAAAACACTCATTTTTTTAAAGTTACATATTCTAAAAAGAGACAAATGATAGCCAAAAAATTCAACTTGTGTGCCTGCAATTTTAAATATTTAGATTTAATGAAGTTTTTCTGTTGTTTCTTTACATTTTCCTAATCTATGACAACCTTTGTTTCCGATAACAAAAACCGAAATTTCCGATAACAAAGTGAACCATTCAACCGCATTTCCGATAACATCCTAAAAGTTAAAAACGGGAAATTTTACCTTTTAATTGCATCTTTGCTAGATTCTGACAATGTCACATTGTTGACAATAACTAATGTTAGGTAAATATAAGGATTTTGAAGAAAGAAGCTATATGCAGCAATACTAATCGGACAAAAACTTGCAAAATATAACAAATTTGACTTTTAAAGTCTTCCTAAGACTTACAAATACTGTAATAAGATATATTGGGGCTTTATTTGGTATCTGTATTCATTCTTGTTCACAAGAAGCACAACCAACATTCTCTGTTTCTATTTTTACAATGTTTATTTGCAACAATTTACTAACCTGTCAAAAGTTGTTATCTACCGAATGCCCAATAACAACTGAATAGCCAATAACGCGTTGAGCAGTGTGTTTTAACGGCACTCCATAAAAACGGGGAAGATTTTCAACAGCAACTTTCACTATGCATATCAAAACTTTTAGTATATCTATGGACTAACATCCCAGGTACAAAATGGGCCCTAAGAGTTTGACGCTCACTTTGAACTCTTGAGGCCCAAGGATTCAATTCTCTTCCAAGTGAGCCTCAAAAACTAAAGCATATGACGCAGCTAGTGACTGTGCCCATGCTAAGTCTTCGGCATTAAAAGTAAAAGTCATGGGTCTTTTGGATATTACCTTAGAAAAGGAGGTCGCGTCAATAATGAAAACATGCATAAATCAGAACTGTGACATTTCACCTATGGCGGATAATCTCATTTTTGGATGAAAAATTCTAAAATAGCATAAAGCAACATTCAATTATCAATTGCATGTAACCATAGGGAACTCTGGTCCCCCTTGGCATTTCATTTTTTAAGACAGAACTGCTGTTCTTGTAGCTAATAATACTACCAAAGCTGTGTGTTGCTTCCTGAAATCCAAATAGATTGAGTCCTTTCAACACCCAGGTGACACAAAATATTTGGATCTTATATTACTCATACGGAAAAGGATGAGGGTCCTTCTGAAAGGTTGAAGCCAGAATTCCCATTATGAATCCATCCCATCAGTAATTCCCTATCTATAAAAGTTACATGTGTTCCTATAGAAAAATAGGTTAATAACACAAATAGCAAATGTATCTTCCCACTACAACAAAGATATCTTTTACCACTTCTAGTACAATAATCATGTACTTACAAATATGCGGTACTCCTAAGGAATAAATACAAAAATGTAGCATAAATAAACTATAATAATAAAAAAATAATAATTACATGTATAACATGTATAATAAAAACTTATATTCATGCCTGAGTATGTTAAAAAAATATTTTTTTTCTCTGTATTTCTAACAGACAGTTCAATGAAAGTTGTCTTCACATGTTATTTCATAACTTCCTGTCTTTAAAGTACTTTGATTTTAGATTTTTGGTAAAAAGTTGACATTTTTCGAGTAAAAATGAATGAATTATATTTTTTTTTGTTTATTCAGCAGAAACATATTCTCTAACTGAAAGTTTAGAATATGAAATTATCTACATAAGCTGAAAGCCTTCATTTTCAATTATTAGATTTTCCTGAAAATATCGTAAAAATCAAGTGAAAAGTTTTTATTAACATGTCATAACCACTTTAAACCCAAGTTCATAATCTGGTAGTCACTTTTTATGTTTATAAGAAGACTACATGTAAATGTTGGTGTTGGTATAAGGTGGTTATGACATGCGTAGGAGTTGCCTAACACACCCACACTCTTGAATTTTCCCATTACTTTAATGCTAATAGTAAATTATTTTGTAACCTCATTTCATAACAAATACTATAGCATCATAAACCAATCAACATTTATCATTAAATTGAATCATTAGCCTACTGATTCATGCAATTTTTAAAGGAAAAAATACTACTTGAAAATTTGAAGTCATTGTAGGCCGCAAAACGGCCTTATAGAGAATGGTCCTTTATATCTTGAATTATATGGTCAATACAATGAATGCTAAAATTCAAAATGATGTTCTATTTAAAACAAAAATAACATCTTCAAACTTTATTCTAATATCATGAAAATAGTTCCTGCTTTCTATTTATGCATGAGCATGTCATGAATTTGTCTGATTTCCCCAACATTTTCATCCTGTCTTTAAGAAAGAGAAAATTCACTCTACTTTTTGTGACAAAAGTTAAGTAATATCAAAACACCAAGAAATAATAGGCAAAAATCTGTTACAGTACCACATGAATGTTTTAGTAAGGAATCCATTTCTATAAATTAATTGACAATTGATGATATTTTGCAGTCTATGCAAAAGACATCGGACCGTCAGACCTGACCAATGTACAGTACCCCTGTTCTGATGTTTCATTTTTTTTACACCAGATCAGAATGTCAAATGTCTCTGTGGCAGGTTTTGAGTTTTATGATTTTGAATGGAGTCGTAAAAGTTTTTAGAAAAAATATCACAAAAATCCAAGTACATAAATGAGTGTGATTAAACCAGCATGGATTTCCTTGGTTCTGTGTTTTCTTTCTTTTCAATTTCTTACACATATTACATTAGATTTTTCAGTCTGACAAAATTTGGTTTGGTCCTGTGTGTTCCTTGAGTACACAGAATGGAAATGTCCTGTGCGACCCCCCCCCCCCCCCAAAAAAAAAAAAACTTTGGCACAGACTGTATTTTGCTCAACATCCTCTGACTAAATATGTTAAATTATACATCTTAATAGGAAAATTCAAGTCCCTTTGCTCTAACAAAACAGTGCGCCATATTTTTATTTTTCCATTTCATATTAATCTTCTCTCAGTGATTTACAATTTAATTAAGCTATATAACTCACCTTTTCCAAGATCGAATTCAAAGTATTCTCCTTTATCTCGACTGGAATCAAATTGTGTCCCATCTTCCAAAGTCCCCACATAATGAACAGACACTTTGTCCCCCGGTACAGGACTATCGTTCCCCTCTCCCGCACGTAAAATCTGTTTTATAACTCCCCCATCCTTGTCTGGAGTAATGTCTGTCGGCTCATAGACTTCTTGTGTCATATTTTAACTAAATGTTCTTATATATTTTGGGTTTATAAAGAGAAAAAACACTTAATTTGTGCACGTGCACCAAAAAATTTTGTTCTACTTTCTTTTTCGTCGGCTTCGAGAAAAATCCCCCCAATATAATAATGTCGATCCCGATTTTGATACCGGAAACACGTTCCAAAGGCAGTAATTGCTGTAACACATTTTATAAATCATCTTTAATATAAGTCAAATCATAGTAATTTAATTAAGCTCTATCTAAAACATACCATCTATTTCAGTCTTGTGCCATTAAAATCTCTGTGATTTTTTATTTCTAATTTGCATCGGGACCAAGATCATCAAAAATTGGAAACTGAGAGCCTGGAGAGGACACAGTGACAGTCAGCAAAATTGCAACCAAAGCTTACAGTCCACTACAAAAATGTCATTTAAGAGGGATGGCGACGATACCAACCAACTAGGGGTGTTGAGAGTATGTTTGATATAACGCAGTTGAAAGTATTTTGTCTGAAACTGTGTATATACATGTACAGGTCCTTGTTTTGGTTCTTCTGTTATCACCAGGGATCTGTATATTTTATATGTAAAATAGGCACTTGGGGCTTAATCTGTATGATTATGTATGAAACCTAATATACATATCAAAATGTGTAATATATCCATATCCGATGGTTCAACCATTTCTGGAGCCATCTAGCATTTCTGCAATTTATTGTTGTACAATGTAAAAGATTGGTTAAAGAAGTACCATGAAAACCATCACTGTATCTGATGAAAACTAGTTTTCTTCTCTTTCTAGTGTTAGTCAGTGAGTACAGTGCCACATGTGCTGGTTTTGATTTTATACTGAAAAAACACATAACCAAGTATTTCAAATTGTGAGTTGTTTTGGATGGGCACCTCTTCAGCGCTCAAATGTAAATGTAGCAAGAAGGGAGAAAGTGCATAATACCATACCAGGATTATACTAACCAAATTAAGTCCCTGAACTCAACAGGTGCTCTTAGCTATCTGTCCGGTTTTGAACTAATCTACTTGAATGAACATCACATTCCGAACCTTAATTAAATGACCTCATCTTTGGAGATACCATATCCCTCCAAGTAGTCTGCTAGGTATCATATATATTCAAATACGTACGTGACTAAGTATGGATAAAAAGTCCCTGTTATGAGCATTTAAATTGATTCTTTGATATCAAAATTTGTTTGTTGCATACTGCTGATTAAATAATAAATATTTTTGGTAGGTAAGGACTAAGTTGCTAACAAAAGGTACATGTATATACATGCATGTTTAATTTATTGTTGGCAGAAAAGACGAGTAAAGGAGTTGTTTGCAGAAGACATTCCAGAGGACGAGGCTTTACTAACAAGTAATGGAAGGTAATAAAGATTAGAATCCTGTTACTTTAATTCCATTACTTTTTTTTAATTGTAAGGGACATAACTTTGCAAACAAATTACAAACAAGACATATTGTATTGATCAAGTACATGTATCATTATTTAGGCTTTTGTGCAATTAGGAAATGTAAAATGTACAGAATTTAAGTAGTAAAGATAACATATCGAAAAAGGGAAACATTTAGAAAAGTGTGATTTATTGACCAAATTATTTCTTTTACCAGTAATACATTTGAATTTTCAGGTTTGCTTGCCTTGTGTGTACCTACAGACCAGTGTTTGATACTGTGATAATGCTGTCACAGCATCGCAAAGGAAAGAAACACGAGGCTTGTAAGTTTGCTGAATAGTTGTAAATATCCCCAAAAAACTAAAATTCTTTTGAAGATTGTTGTTAATTCTGTATAATTTAATTTTGTTCGTATTCTAGCCTCTGATTGGTTAATATCAAAAAAGGAACACAAATTATTTCTGTATAACCTGGTTTGGTATGGGGACACACCCCCCTGACAACCAGCTGAATCATCTGTATCCATGCAATCCTCTCATTTCCAGTCCTCGGGATTCATGGAAAATTCCAGATTTAGTAAATGTACCTTTAACTTCAAACAGTAACTCGGATCTTACCACATGTAAACAAACAACATGGCTGCTAGGACTATATATCAGTTTTTACCTCCCCTTGCTTCCCATCACTTCCGTTACTACGGTTGTATTATTGAGTGGCAAATTTGAACTAATAAAAAGCAACGAGATTTTACACCCACAGTTGTTTAATGATTTTAGAATTAAATTATAAGGAATGACTCTAATTCTTCGCGGATTATAAAGCGTAAACTGACCCAAACCAGGTTATACTCGAATAATTTGGCCAAGAATTAGAGTCATTCCTAAAATTTTTAACTGTTTATTCATGACTTTTAAAGAACTACCAGTACTTCAAAGTTCTGGTTTCCAAAAATAGTAAACAAGGTTAAACAAGGTTAAGTAGTTATTTGTTGTAACCAAATTCATCCCAAGAGAACTTGACACTTAACGTGCTATGATTTCCTTATTTCAGATATGGAACAGTTTCAAGAAAAGAAAGATGAGCTAGAAATGCTTATAAAGCAGAGAAAACACGAACAGTACTTAAAAGATGGAACTACAAATATCAAACAGGTATAGCTTATGTAACAGGAAAGGAGAAAATGTATGGCTGGCCTGGGAATCAAACCCGGGACCCCTGCGTCACTAGTCAGGTGCTCTTGACAGGGGTTAATAAGAACTTGGGTCGTTACTTTAAGGACGAAGACAATTTAAAAGGGAAGAATGTAATGGTTTGGGCCGTCGATATTGGCCTGGATAGCTCAGTCAGTAGAGCACCTGACTAGTGATGCAGGAGTCCTGGTTTTGATTCCCAGTCCAGCCATACACTTTCTCCCTTCCTGTTACACTCACTGTATAGGGGGAAAATAACTCGCGGTGTAAATATTCCCTGTATTCACGGTGTCAATAAATCTTTGAATTCAAGAAACAGTGAATAAGTTTTCAATAAACTTTTTTTTTTGAAATTTGAGTATAGATTACGACAGGTTTATAGATACGTACAGTAGATAGTAATTCAGTTATTACGAGTGGTATTTGTCATTCAATTATTCAATTATCATGCTTTTCTTAAATTCAAATCAGCAAATAATGACCTGTATTTTTTGTTAAAAAAGCTGTTTTAATAGCCAACGCTACGTTTGATCAATCAAAACACATGGGTCGTGGGTTTTGATTACCCGTGCGTTACTAACATTACCACATGAATTTGTTACCTGATATGTTAGTTTTTATCGATATTTGGGCTAAAAAAAATTATTCAAATAACTCTCGCACTTGATATAGATATGGAAGGATATTATTTCATTGACGTATATTAACACATTATCGTCCATTGATTTTCGCTGCGATGTGTTATCCCTTCGGAAAGAATATTTTGGGGTGTACATATGCACTCATCGTAATAGCTTACAGGAAAGTCATTCGATGTTTATAGTCAAGGACATTTAATGGCACTTGTTTTGATGAATCATAAATTAATAACAAAATCTAACCACTTCATTAAAACCTCCCCAAGTATTGTTCATGAAGTGAATACATAACGCTAATGAATGTCGTTTTGGCTACACTGGATGCAGACAAGGGAGGTAACTTTTATCATATATGGATACAAATTCTGTGAATTCATCAAACTGTGATCGTGTCAGGGGAGAGAAAAACGTGAAAATTACAACCCCTGAAATTAATCCCCTATACAGTATAGCAATTTAAATTTTCATATCTTATTATTTATAAGAATAGAATGAATGATGATTGACCAAAATGATAAGGTGTTTGAATGCATTTGGGTTTAGTAGAATTATGCATACTTTTCCTTGCATATGTTTTCAGTAAAATTGTGAAATATTGTAGGCAACAATATCACACAAAGGACTAGGTTGTGGACACAAGTATGACCCCAGAGTGAAGAAAAAGTTTCATTCCCGAAAAACAAGGGTAAGCCTGGGGGAATCCAGCAATGACAGTGTGTCAAGCCAGTGTGAATTTCCAATGGCTACAGACATATCTTCACTCCCAGGAGAAAGAGTTTCATCAAATTCATCTCCAGTTGTATCTGGAATACTGAAGAAAGATGTTTCAGCTAATGATACAAGTATGAAAAATGAAGACAGTATAGGAGCTAATGTTTCTGATCAGTTCAAAAGCAACAAAAACTTCAGGGAACATTTTCTTGGCCAGAAAGGACCCTTTCTCCATGAAAAACAACTAAAAAATATTTTCTCAGTGCCAAAATCAAACCACTTTAACCCTGTGCCATACAAAAGGAAAGCAACAGAAAATTCTGAATGTGACACTGGGATGGTGAATTGTGCTAAACAGTGTAGAGGCAATGAGACTAAAATATCAGCAGGAACTGTAGTCCCTAATCACACTCCAGATAACTCTCAGCAATCTTCAAATACGTCCACAAACAACCTTAAAATTGTATCAAAATCCAAAAATAAAAAGACAGTACCACAAAGAAGTGAAGAGGATGAAAGGAAACTAAGAGAAAAACAGAAGTTAGCAGACAAATACCTGTATTACAGAGGGTACGTGCTGTTGCATGCATTATGTTTCTCACATCATACTCTTGAGCCTGTATTTTTGAAACATCTTGTGCATCTGTCATTTGCTTATAAAACACTGACTCCTTTCTCATGTTAATCCTATCTCTAAATATTTACGTTGATTTTATGATTTTTGTAGAGGAGGATGGAAGAAGAATTGGAAAGGGGAGTGGGTCAAAGATGAAGATGTGGAATTTGATTCTGATGAAGAACCTCCAGATCTGCCATAAACTGACATTATTAACAATATATTTAGTATTGATAACGCAACAGAAGATTAAATGAATTCATTAGATTTTGTAGTGTTTCTTTATCACTATTTCATTTGTTATCCAATAAAGTAGAGATCAAAGAGTTATTTTGAAAGGGAGATAATTCAGGATATGCACTATTTGAAAAAATGATACTGGAATACATGTATCATTTTGCCACTGAATACTTATGGATAAAAGGTAGATTTTTTTTTTTTTGAAAAATTTTGCTAATGCAAAGTGCATTTTATTTAATACAAGTATGTACTTAAAGTATCTCTTACTTGGAAAACTGTTCTGTCAAACATTTTTTGTCACCTTCATAACTCTGGTTTGCTGGGATAAAACTCTCAGGCCACAACAATTCAGAACATTAACAAAGATGGTCTAGATATTTTAGCTTCAAGAAATCTTAAACTAGAGTACAATTTACAGACATTTTATTCAACAGAACTTGTTGCTGGAATAAATAAATTAACAAAGTACACAAAATGACAACTAAATCAACAGGAACAAATATAGTTATCACAGGTTTGTCCTTCACAGATATACATGTATATGTTTAAATTACATGTGCATTGAAATTACATGCACAAAATAAAAAGCTTGAATGGAAAGTCATTACACCAGATTACAAAATCATTTTACCAAATCAGTTCTGTTTATATCATACTCCTCTCCATCTATGGTAAATCAGTTCCTTGAAACAGGAGTATATTGATGTTGATCCTTTTTTTTTAAATAAATTTTCACCTAGAAATATTTTTGATTGCTTTAAGGAATGAGTGAGTGCTTTTTGAACAACTCCTCAGGAGGACTGGGTGTGTCTAAGCTGGGTTTCTTCAAACAGAAATGATACTCCTCTTGCGAGGCTCTGTGGGGGGATCTTTGCTCACTAATACTATCCCTGTTCATGGCATGGGTCCTGCTGGGGACCTCTATATCTGGGATAAGGTTGTCAATAATGTCTCTGCTAGATAACGTATTTGAAGTATACAGATATGTGTCCTGACTTGAAGGACCGCGTTGGGGTTTTACTTCATTGTTGTCAAGGATTTCCAGGATATCCAGTGATTTAATCTGAAAATATCACATTATATTTATGATTATAACATACCATTGTAATAATGTTGATAAATTTACAAGGTAACAGATTCACAATGACAGTTTGATACAAATAATTAGAGACTCAAGAAAGGAAACTAAAGAGTTTTGCAAGAAAATTTACTGATCACATAATACATGTAATGCAGATGTTATCCCTACTATAATAATGGGACATTTTCTGATCTAGCTGCATATTTAAATTTGATGCATACTTTACTGGACATTCCACTTGTGTGGTTTCCACTATAGTAGTCTTTGTCATGAAACTGAGGCATAAACTCTGGGTACTGGATTGTTGCTGCATATGCTGGTACCTAAAAGAAGATAATCAGTATATGCTACTTTAGAGGAAATGTTGAAGAGTTTCTGCAATATATTTTCAAGTATATACTATAAATTTTAGAGAACATTAAAGGTCCATATCCATGATCATATAATAAATAAGAAGTCATGAATTATGAACGGCTTTAACAATCCAACTAAATATTAAGCCTGTCCTTTGACGACCTACTGTTTCAGTCCTGCAGTTTCCTGTATCCCTGAGTATCTGACTGCCCTGGTAACCTGAGGACATTGAGGAGGTCTGTGATGAGGACCGGACCTCATTATGCTCTGTAAACAGGCTCCTCCAGCTGTCCTCGTCCTTACTCCTCCTCCATTCCTGCTCCTGTAGCTTCCTGGCATGCTCGTCCTGTTTCCTGAGGATGTCAAGACCATCTGCATTGCACAAATCCTCCAGGAAAATTTCTTCTCTCTTTGCTGTCACTTTTATCATATATTTATTGGCTTCTGCCATCATCTGGTCATGGCATTCCAAAAGAGTTTGTGCATCACTTTGAATGTCTGAGAGATCATGGAAGAAAGGTTCATGCTTCTCCTGTACTCCAGGTGGATCTGGTAGACTACTGGTTTTATGTAAATTGGACCTGTACACTTCTTTAGGGGTGATTGGTATCTTTACATATTGCTTTGGTTGGTTCACCTCTTTCGACTTTGGTTTTGAATTTACTACAGTGGGAGACACTGCATCTTTTTTCAGTTCTCTATTTTCCTTATTCTCATCTTAAAAAATGAATAAATAATGTATCTTAATGGTCTACGTCATCACCAGCTAAGTTTGCTGTGAGGTGAGATCACAGTCACTTACCGGTATTTAGGAAATGTAATTATGTTTGTAAATGATGAAAGCAATATGAGCTACAACTTTGATGTTGGAAATTTTTGTTGCAATATTGTAGTTAACTATTTAAATGACAGAAAAAAGAAAGGTTTATGAACTTCTACTGTTTATATTTGCGATGGAAGAACTATTTATATGCTTTGATTGAAGCAAAATAAATTATTGTCGTCCTGTACAATATTGATTTCTTACATAAAACTATACATTCCATTGTATAGAAATCTTTCTTCTGAAAAAAATTTAATACTTTACATTAGTCTAACTGATCATAAAGGTTTAAATTACATACAGATTTATCAGATCAGCACATTTTACCAACAAAATAAAATCCACAAAAATGCAGCTCATATTGCTTTAAGGAACTGACTGATAATACCTTTCCTTGGAGTCAGATATCTGTTTAATAGAGATCTCTTTATAGATGAATTTCTTTGCAGGGATGGAGTAGGGGTAGAAGACCGTAGTGCACTAAAGAGTGAAAAGTAGATTGCAAGTGCATAAATGTCATTTTTAACAAAAATACAAGTCTTATACATTGTCAAAATATTCCTTCAATATATACATTAATCGAAACTATATTCATGGAAAGACTGTCTCTTAAATTGAAAGGATTCTTTTTTTTATTTTGGACATTAATTTTTTTATGATGACTATTCAAATGAAGAAATGACTTGATCTAATACGGTAAATTAAAATACACAAGAACTTACTTTCTTCTCATTATACTTCTAAGCTCATCTGTGGTTTCTTGAACAAAATCTACATTTTTAATTTAAAAAAAGATATAGAACATACTTAATACATTTGCTACTGTACAAGTTTGTGAAACGCTCTCTTCATATATAAAAATTATAAAATCCAACTATATCAACTCACTTTTTTTTAAAGATTACTACAAAAAATAAGATATTATACCTCTTTCTGGGAAGAGTTTTTGTGGTTTAAGCCGAGAGAGAACTTTATCCACAATATCCTCAATAGATGATAACTTTAAACAGAAATGAAACGTCAGATATTTTTAAAAATCCTTTTTTAAATATTTTCTTAGATATGCATTGTATTATGAAATGCTAGGTAGTCTGCCATTAAATTCCAAACTTTTTTCAAAGATACTTAAGAACATATACTTGTATATGCATATACAATGGAACATAAATATCATGTAATCACATTCACACAGGAAAAATATTTTTGAAAGGATGACTTTAAGAAAAGCTATAGGATAAAACTGAATGTACATGTAACATTTACAACATTTATAATTTCCTACATAAGGTTGCGCCTGTACAAGTTACAAAGTTAAAATGGTTAAAGATCTGCTGACCTGGACATTGCCTTCTCTTAATGTTGATCCACAACTACTGGCAAGGCTCAAAATACTGAAAAAGAAACAAATAAGAAACAGTAAGTTCTTTAATAAAAGAAACTACAGTGAATGTCTCTATTCTGCATTTTATAGTCTTCTAAAATAGCACTTCATATTTTAGGGACTGTCTCATTTTTTATACATGCACACCTACTACCTGAGGTGAAAATTTGGAAAAAAGGAACAAAATTTTTATAAATATCATTATGCACAATTTATTTTTTCAGAGAAATGACTTGCATAATGAAACTCAAAAGTTGATATTCTCAGTCCCTGTATAAGAGTAATTTATCTTAATTTTATATAAATGTCAGATGAATAAAACACTGCTAAGTTTCTGTGAAAAATCAAAAAACTTTAACCTTTGCGGAAAATTAACAATCGAAATTTGATAGATATTGCACTTTTGCTTACAATCGGTAATGGATATAAAATTATAAAATATTTCATTTTGCACAATACTAAATGTATGTGTACCTGTGAGGAGCAGACATCCTTTGAATGGAGGCGGGGGTAGTGGTGTGAGAAGTTGAGCTGCTCCTGTATCCTGTCTCAGGTCTACTCAAGTCTGCTGAATTCACAGTCAATTTTTCCTTTCCATTTGTTTTATTGCTTTTTAAATAAAGCAATCATTTCAATATTTCAGAATTAAATAATTTGATTAGATTTATATCAAGTTTTAATACAAAAATTTTATGCTCTAGCTGCAGATTAAATAGATTACTAAGATGAATAATCTTCCTCTACATCTAATGTTTTAAGTGGTAATAATGATATTTAAGCGAGAACATCTAACCTTGATATTTTGTCATTATGCCTTTCTTGGTCACTGTATCTGTCTATCGAACTATTATGGAGAAATTCCTCTAAATCCTCTTCTGCAGTTCTTCGTTTTCCATTTAAAATATAAAAATCTGTCAAAATTCACAAGACCTGGCTTGTATTATAACACTCTCTATCAGCAGTGCTATGAAAAAAATGAAATGGAAATGTCACTAGTACCTTGAATATTAACAAACTTATGAATGATATACATACATGTATACAATCGAACCTTACTATCTCAAGCTTAATTGTACTCAACGGGACTGTGATTAAACTGAGATATCTGTTGATTTAAGGTCTGACGATACGTTCCTCAAATATCTGTTTTGTTTTTTTCTTGTAATATGTAAAAAAAAATATTCATGATATTAACATTATCTTGTGATTTCTAAATTGTGTTCAAAATGTCTTAGAAAATTAAAAAAAATTAATACTTCATAAATTAACAATTTTGCAAAGTAATCAATGCAAAATTGTCAATTTACGAAGTAATCATTTTTTGGCCAAAATTTTGTCGCATTCATCATCAGTGTGACTGTATCAAGAAATCTGGTACTCACCATGTTGCGCCGTTCGGCCGTTTGGCCAAAAAATGCAAATAATGCAAAAAGTAGGTAAAAATAACTACTTTGGGTAGGTTTAAATACCTAGGTAGCTATTAATAGCTACTTAGGTAGAAATAGTCTTTGGACTGGACCTGATTGACAATTCAAATGATTTCAAATAGGATTTTATAGGAAACACCACCCTCTGGTATCTTGCACAAATGCCTGGTAAGGTACCTCAATTTTTTGTGAGGAAACTATAGCAGAACTTCAATGACAAATTCTTGGGAAAAATTATATATTATTGTGGAATGTGTAGTCTGACCTTAAAATAAGGAGATTCAAAACATAAACAAGTGGCCCATGAGCCACAACGCTCACCTGACTTGTTCTTCATCAGCAGATTCTTTTTCCTATATATTCCTTTGTAAAACTTTGATCACCCATTGTAACCCTACCCTATGCCAGGGGGTCATGATTTGAACAAACTTGAATCTACATTACATGAATATGACTGATCATGGCTTTGCTGTTCTTAAGAAAAAGATTTTTAAAGATTTTTTCTTTGTATATCTATGTAAAACTCTGATTGCCCATTGTAGCCCCACCCTACTCCTGGGGGATATGATTTGAACAAACTTGAATTTACACTACCTGAGGATACTTCCATACAAATATGACTAATCAAGGCCTAGCTGTTCTAGAGAAGAAGATTTTTAAAGATTTTTTTCAATGTGTTTCTTTGTAAAACTTTGATTGCCCATTGTGGCCACACCCCACCTCTGGGGTAATAATCTGAACATTGTGCTGGGGAGAAGGGCAAACTGTACTATCTAGAGGAAGTAAAAGTCGTAACAAGGTTTAACTTGATTCTACACTACCTATGGATGCTTCCATATTAATATGACTGATCAAGGCTTTGCTGTTCTTAAAAAGATTTTAAAGACTTTTCTTATGTATTTCTATGTAAAATTTTGATTGCCCATTGTGGTCCCACCCTAATCCTGGGGTCATGATTTGAACAAGGTTGAATTTACACTACATAAGGATGCTTCCATATAAATATGACGACTGATCATGGCATTGCTGTTATTATGAAGATTTTTAAAGATTTTTCCTATGTATTCCTATGTAAAACTTTGCTTACCCATAGTGGCCCCATCCTAGCCCAGTCAGTCATGATTTGAACAAAATTAAATCTGCACTATGTCAGGAGCCTTTACATAAGTTTCATTTTTTCTAGCTCAGTGGTTCTGGGAAGAAGATTTTTAAATGACCCCACCCAATTTTTTACTACATGTATTTCTTAATTATCTCCCCTTGGAAGAGGTTATGGCCCTTCATTTGAACAAACTTGAGTTCCCTTTACCTAAGGATACTCTGTGCCAATTTGGTTGAAATTGGCCCAGTGGTTCTGGAGAAGAAGATGAAATTGTAAAAAGTTTATGACAACGATGTCAACAAAAACAATAAGGATGACAGACAACGGACAAATGTTGATCAGAAAAGCTCACTTGAGCCAGGTGAGCTAAAAAAGTAGTTGGCACTTCCACCTCACCTCAACTTGTCTCTGGTATTTAAGATATCAGTGTTCAAGATAACAAAGTTCAACTGTAGATAGTACAGTATGTTTTACCTCTTGAAACTGTTTCTGACTTTTTGCCTTGATTAAAAAGTCCAAGTCGTTTCTGAAAAAAAAATGTACTTTTAAGAGTATTTCAATTAAACAAGTATATGAGCAATGTATCCAGATGCTACTTGTATTACTAATTTAAATAATCTTTAATACAGAAAACACATGTTCAAATAATAATTGAGATGATAAAAAATAAAAGACTTGATACATATACTGGTACTCACTGTCATTCGGTTTCTGGCAATTCTTGAGATGGCATTTTTAGCATGCAGTTCTTGTTCTCGTGCAGATCTCAGAGCCTTCAACAGAAAACCTGTATAGCTTCAAATCTTGAAGAACAAGGTTTGAAATAAGTGTATTAACTTCAGATTATGAACAATATAAGTACTTGTAAACACTTACATGCCTGAGGTTTGAGTCAGAGTGTGCTTGTACTTGATCAAATTTTTCTTCTGACTGGTACAATATACATAAAGACAAACATTAAAAGTTACATATAATTAAACTTTACAAAATGAATAAATCTGATTTTAATTCTGCTTGATGCTGAGAACTTTAGTTTAAAACATATTTATTCATTACAAATGAAATGGATTGAATAGCAGGCATAATGCCTATAATTGTTCTCTCCACAGGTCAAGGTACATGTAACAATTATTGGTGCATTTAACATTGAAAAGCAGTATGTAAAATAAACCATTAATTGGTACATGTATAAAGTGAATCCACAGAAAGTGAGAGAGAGAGAGAGAGAGAGAGAGAGAGAGAGAGAGTAAATAGAGAGAGAGAAAAAAACATTAAAAAAACATAATAAAGTTGACTCAGAGTGGAAAAAATTCCTTAACATGCCTAAAATGAGATAATATTCTTCCTAGCATATCATGATAAACTATTAAGATTTCAATGAAAACCTCTTTGAGTTTCTTATAAAGGCATGTACATGATCAAAAAATGAAAAGTTGTCTTCTAAACATAAGGATTCATCACCATATAGTATATTATCTATATTAATTGGTATGCCATTCTCATTCATATATTTAATCAGTATCTGTCTTTGTAGAACATATTGTGGACAATATATGAAAAAATGTAACGAATCTTCAATTTGGTACATGTATCCACAATTTGTACATTATGGTGAATCATTAAGGTGGTCTTTAAAAGGATCAGCATTAAGGTTACTTCATTTATTTCTCAACTGGCAATGTAGTATATTTTCAATTCTATTCCCATAATTGTACAACTTGACTTTATTTTTCTTGATGGGATTGGTGTAGGTTAATCTTTTTTTGAAATTTTGCAATGTAGGGGAAGTTCTACAATCATCAGGTAAATTATTCCATAAGGATTTTGTGGATGGTACAAAACTATTATAGTAAGACACTGTTTGAGTGATTGGGATATGATATGAGTTTGTGTTGCGTAAATTATAATTATGCTGAATTGGCATACATCCCTCAAGCATGTTATACATGTAATCAGGGGTAAGGTTATTAAGAATTTTATACATCAGTGTGAGCTTATGATTTTCCCTTCTTGAACTTAAGGTTTCCCATCCCAACTCATTATATAGGTTAGTTTTGGATGTACTGCACCTAATGCCCGTAATTATTCTTGCAGCTTCCACCTGAACACTTTCCAGTAATTTGGATTGTTCTTCAGTGCTGAGAACTTTGATTTGTAATTGCATTATGAAGGAAAGAATCTCATTCCTCATTTTCTATATTAATCATATGTTTCTTAAACATCTTTAGTAATAAGGGTAAATTATAAATAAGAATCTTTTTTTTTCAATTCTTTAAAGTTCCTTGGGTATTCTACAAGCCAACAAACAGTACAAAGTTTGAAACCATTTTAAAATTCGGTTTCTTTAAATGTATGCCCTTTCTTTCCTTTTAACATCATAATCAAACTATCATAAGTATTTGAATCAACCAACTGGCAAGCACCTTATGCCTTTTCCTATCTTCTTTTGATTTGTTATTTTTTCTTTTCCTCCCCCTTGATTTTCTTTCTGTTGGACTCATGATGTCCTCTGTGGCACTTCTATCTTCTGCTGTATTTGTCTTTCCCTCGTCACTTTCACCATGTATCCCAGCAACAAGAAATGCACCATTTCCTCCAGGAGACTTGGATCTAGCCCTAAAGACTATCAGAAAGAATAAACATGAAGATTAATTTTTTTTTATGATTTCTCTTTCTTAAAAACAAAAAAAAAAAAAAAAAAAAATGTTTTCAATAGTTCATAGATAAATTAATTTACGTATATTATATTTCTTGTATTAAATGTTGAATAAAAATATTTCTATCAGCATCTTTAAAGTAATGAAATAAAATGGTAATCTTAGTAAATGACATATTTGAGCAATAGATTGAATCGACTGCCAACATTTTAACTTATATATATGTTACCCTCCAATACTGATTCTTTTATCTTTTTCTTTTCCTTATCTGCAGCTTTTCTTAGGTACTCATCAAATCCTCTGTGTCTTCCCATCTGGCTGTATATGTTTGACTTTAAATGAAAATTACAAATAAATATTACTAGTTAAGCACTACAAAAATACACCATGTCTCCATGTCCATTAATTGGGAATCAAACCCTAACGTGAGTATCAACTCCTAATCTTTCAACTTTAGAATGAAGTGAGACCATCACTCTTACATGTACCACTTGGGCAAGTAAAGTGATTACAATCAATCTTTCTAAGGACCAAAACTTTCTTCTCAGTATTTGGCCTTGAAAAAATTATTTTGTTGACATAAGCTATGAATCTTTGCACATGCAAATTTGTCTAAAGTACATATGATTGGTTATGTTGAGATTACAGTATCCCAAGTTATTCCCCTTTATGCAGCAATCCATTACGATGTATAAAACTGTGTAATTTTGATTTTCCCATGTTCAAACAATTTTCATAAAATGTTCTAAAAGTAAATTTTTATATAAATAGTAAAAAAAAAAATACATGTTCAATAAATATGCATTACCCCCTTTCCTTTCTTTTTTTCTGTCACCATCTGAAACTTGAAAAGGCCGCCATGACAGACTACAAGTGAAGGATATGCGAAACCAAAAAGGAATATGCCCGTATATTTTTCTTGTTATTCGTGCTTTTGCTATATGCTTTTTCTATATTCTTTTTAAATCACAAATTTTTTAAAGAATTAAATTAATATATACTAAAAAGCTATAACTAAACAAATACGAAAGTATCTACATAGCTTTACTCGTGCACTATCACCACTAGTAACGAGAGTAAATTATTGTCGACAGATTTCGTGTTTGTTAGCAGCATACAGTGATTGTTTACATCTAAGATTGACAAAATGGCACAAACAGTTATTTCTGCATTGTATCCACCGCATATAGATCCAACACGGACACCTCTGGCCTATGGAGATAGAGCACTTCCAAGACTGGTGAGATAAAATAGAACATAATTTTGTTCAGCAATGTGCCATTTCGAGGAAATGCGGGACAAGAATTAATATTGAATATATATATATCATTTATTGTCATTATGCAGCAGATACGTATATATGTAATTTGCTACATGTTTTATAGAATAGGGAATTGAAGGATTCCACACTTTTGATTCGCCAAAGAGCTGTGATGTCATTATGTGACCATTTACATGATCCTGAACACATTGCAGAGGCTCTAAGAGTTGGTAAGTACTAACTAATGTACATATAATATTCCATAGCGTAATAAATATCCAATCAAGTGTAAATTACTGTTCAGATCATTATATTAATGGTTTATCTTGGACTGGATTAGGGTATATAGATAGAACGTTCTATCGTTAAAATGATATTGTCCTATGGACCCGGTTTAACGATGTGGTGAGGGCTTGTCCTGAGACACAGTTAGATTATTCGAACTAGGATTAGGGAAGTGACAAAAATATAATATGATTTATTAAATATGATATGCTGATAGAATTATAGAAATTTAGCCATTACAAGCAGCATAATGGTTTGAATAATGAATTTTATGCTGCATTAAAAAGATAAAGCACACACTGCTGAAATTAAAGTATTGGTTAATGGTTACAATAATGTAAAATAGTCTGCTGCATGCCAGATTGATAAAAAATTTTTACAATCTTTAATTCAGATAAAATCAATTCCATCCAAAATTGAGCTGGTTAAAATGCTAGTGAGATTTTAATTCTTGTTAAAGCCTTTTAGGCTGAAAATGAAGTTTTTATTTACTCAAACTAAATGTATATTAATTGTACGTTATTCTTTCTCTTATATCAAGCATTGTTAAATTTTTTTCAGGAATAGCAGAAAGCTTGAAAACTTTACTCACTGATTCTGATTTAACAGTCAGACAGAAAGCCACTGAATGTTTATATGTAATTGGAGGTATGTTTTTTTTTATCTATAATGTTAGATGTTCTCTTGATTATTATTTGGTTATTATAATTATTGATGTTTTGTTAATTAACGAGATCATCATCTTATACCGTTTTACCTGAATTTACAAAAACATCATGTATATTTTACTCAATTACCCACTCTATTAAAAGGCCATGCAATAGGTAGAGATGCCTTTTTGGAAAATGGGATCATACCACCAGTGGCAAAATTGTTTGATGATAAAGAAGACATTGCCAGGAAGAATGCACATCAAGCAATAGAAATGATATCTGAAACACCTCCAGGTAGTAAAATACAGATGCTAATTCTTCTTCCAGTTGGGTACTTTACCACTTATAGTGTATTTTAGAACTATGGGTGTACATGAACAGCCTTCTCTCCGAAAATTAGTTCAGTATGCATTTTCAAAACAATGTTCATAGGTCTATAACTTAAACATCAAAAAATAAATATTGGTAAAGTAAATTGAATCAAAATCTTAAACAGTATGTACCTTTTTTTTGACTTCTTAAGTGTATAGACCAATACATTTAAATAACTTTAAACATATAGATCATGCAAGAAATAAGATTTATAAAAAAAAAAAAAAAAAAAAAAAAACAAGTTGATTCAACCAAATCAGGAACATTCTTGACAAAATCTAAGATAATACAGATTATTCTGCTTTTAATAAAGTGGTAATATTTATCCCTAGTCAATCAGATCCATAATTTCTGTAAAATTTTACATTTTCATTTTGTTGTCTTTATGCTTATTTTAAACCACTCTTAATTACATGATGGTTGTTAAAATTTCAGACTATAAAAGTTCACATTTTCTTTTCATTTGTTGGTAAAATTATCTTTTATATGTTTTCTTTAGGGGCTGAAGGAATTGTAGAAGCCAATTTAGTTTCTATTCTTGTGAAAAAATTGTCTTCAGAGAAAGATGAAATTAAGGCAAGACTCTAAGATTATATATATGTCATTAAAAAATCATATGATTACCAGTAATTGTTTTAAAGTAATTGTAATCCAACTATTATTTACAACAAATTTCATTTGCAATTCTTTAGTTTGAAATCCATCCATGACAATAATCTTCTGCAAATGAGGATACATTCCTTATTTGATAAGAATTAAAATTTGATTTGCAGCCAGAAATATTCATGAGTAAAAGAAGGTTTTGAAACTCAACAATATTTCTTATTCTAGAATAAAAGTTGGTTTACAGTATTTTAATGTCAATATTAATGTTCAGGAATTCTGCTGCTCAGTGCATACTTATAAATTACCTGACACCTTAAACTGATATTCAGTAGATTGTTGTTATTGTACTGAATATTCAATGTTATTTTTTCATCTTGCAGATTTTGATTTTAGACACTCTGCATTACTGTATGAGAGTGAATACCGTACAGGCGCTGGGCGCTGGAGCAATGGAGACATATACAAAGCTTCTAGACCATGCTTCTGATGTGATCAGAGCTAAAGCTGCCAGAGATATCATGGATCTTAGGTAACAAATCAAAACCAGTATCCAGTCTGTTTGTTAAAATATTTTTCAAAGAACTAAAAGCAAAAACCCAAAATTGAACAAAAATGGAATTGCTCTCTATTTCTTTTTTGGCATGTGACTTACTGAATTAAACAGAATCAAAAATTTATTGGACAGAGAACTAATCAAATTAATAGACATTCTTTATTTGTAATTATTGTCTTTTGTATTCCAGTGTTCCTCTGGATGGTAAGAATAAAGCTGTAGAAGTCAAATCTGTTCCATCCTTAGTCAGACTTCTTAAGGACAAAGAGCCAGATGTGCGGGCAAATGCAGCAGGTGCTCTCATGATGTAAGACACCATCGTCCACGTATAACATTATTTGAAAAATATATTCTGACATAGATTGTTTACAAGACAAAAAGTTAGCACATTATATGAATTTGTCTATAAAATGTATATCATGTTTTACAGTTATGTATTTCAGGAATGTGATTCAAAAAATGAGAAGAGAAAATTTTTCTACAATCATATGTTTATTCATACCTGTAGCATTTTTAATGTTCCTGCATACCACATAGGTCTTTGCATTCATATAAAATTATTAAAATGTGTAAAGGGAGATAACTCTGTGATTACACCATATTATTAATTTCCACAGGATTACAATAACAACAAAGGGTAAATACACAGCAATTAATGAAGGAAAAGCCATCCAGCCTCTGGTAGACTTAGTGGATGATCCTGTCAGTGAAGTCAGGCTAAATGCAATCAAGGTAAGATTTAGTAGATAATCCATCAATGAAGTTGGCATATAAATGCCATCAAGAAAGGGTGTGCATTAAAAATTTTCAAAACTTTAGAGCAATTTCCATTTCTATTCCCTTTCAATATCTGCTTTGGGTAATTCCATATTTATTACCACTGAGCACCAAATAATGAGTGCCAGTAAGGGCATGGATGCTGAATGAGTTGACTGCGATACTTTCAATTTAATTTAGCAAAATTTACAGTATTTTTAAGAATGCTAAAATATCAGAATTATTTCATTTTCAGGCTCTAACTTGTTTGTCAGAGGCACCTGAAGGGAGAGCTGTATTATTGAAACATGTAGATAAGGTAAGGATACAATACGCCTTGATTTTTTTTTTTAATGTAGATGTACGTTTATATGTTCCAGCTTGGTTTATACGAGATTCAGGTTATGCAGTTCAATTTCTTCAACTTAATTTACTGTAGATTCCTAAATATACGCGAGGAATAAATTATCGCGTAATTATGCGAGAAGCACCGCTCACGAAATAAAATAACTCGCTTTTATTTTTATGGTGCTTTAATGTATGTAAAATCTCTAGATAAATCACCCATTCGCGAATTATTATTCTCGCGATTTGATGCCCTTGGGTCATTTCGTGATAATAAGTACTCGCGTAAAATAAGGAATCTACAGTATTCCAGTGATTTCAATTTCTTTACTTTTTTCCACAACAGATTAAGGCCCATGAAACAGACTCCATTCCTGCTGTTGTTAAAGCTGCCACTATTGCTGTCCGAGTAATCACATGGAAGCCATGAGAGACAATTATGACATTTACAAAGTGTTGGGTGAATGTGTCTACTGTATGTATGTGGAGTGAATGTATCAAGTATGGAATGAATTGTTCATTTAAATCTGTGATATGTAAATAGTTATTTCATCATCTGTGTGCAATCATGAATGTATGAAAGTTATCCTTCAATGATAAATGTATAATTTCATTTGACAAAATTAATGTTATATAAATGTATGTTCAGTATCTACAGAAAAATATGATAATTGAAGAATTTTCACTCTGGACTGAATATTTTTTACACAAAGAAATGTGTTTATCTCAAGTTTGTAACTTTAATCCTGGTTAATATAGAATGTTTATTTCAAATACAATATCTATCTATGATAATTTTATTTTTATTTGTAACTTTAAAACACTCTAAACATTGCTTACTATAACCCATAGTTTTCTCTCTTGTATTGTAAATAATATAAAAGTAAAATGTAGATTATTGATTAACAAGAAAGTGTAAATGAGCTCCATTTCTTGTCCTAACAATTATAAAGAATTTAACGTCCATTAAATTAAAATACAGTCAAACCTTGTTATCTCGAACTTAATGGGACTGAGGAAAAACTTTGAGATATCCAAGAATTCGAGATATCCAGGTTAAAGTACTTAAAGAATAAGCGGTTGGGACTTCCAAATCACTTTGACATACCCATGGTATATGAGATACCAGAGTTCAAGGTACCAAAGTTATCTGTACTTTATTTCCAAAAAGAACTGTACAGACATGACAAATTGATTGGTACTAGTTCTGTAAGAAATTTTACTCGAGATGACATAACCTAGTGTGAAAGTTTGACAGGTCCGTGTAAGCTATGGATTTTAATCAAATAAGCTGTAAAGGTGAAGTAGTGTACAAAATTTTTCCATACATTTATGTATGTGATAAACTTGAACCAGTGCAGTGAAAGTTAATTATGTTTGCACCTACAGAAATACTTTGAACACAAATTTCTGAATAATGAATACATGGAATCATAATATTTTTGAGCCTTGGATAATAGTCTAGTGTGTATTTTCAAAATTTCAAATGCAATTCAATGCTATACACTGCAACCAGAAATTGCTCAGTGCCACATTCATCTCAAGCTATTGCTGAATTCACTGTGACTAATACAAAAATCTTTTTTCATTTACTTGTCTTTCTAGTATGAAAAGCAAGACATAATTACTTGTGAAACTCAAAAAAGTTTCAAATAAGGACTGACCTGAATGGGGTTTTTTTTTCAATATCCAAGGCATGGAGTATTCAATCTGTAAACTATATGTATCACAAGTTCATGAACTTGATGAATGCACAGAAAGATAAATTTTCATGTAAGCAATTTTCATTCCACATTTTATTCCAGAACTTACAGAATTTTAGTACATGTATATACTAGATTCTGAAGTTTTATTGCATATATATGCATGTATACATATATAATTCAAAAATGTGAAATATTACATACCTGCATGTAATAAATACAATGTAAACAAACATATTCCATACATCTCAAAGCACTAATTCTTAGATTTATAATAATAGCTGTATACAAGGAAATAGTCGCCCCATTCAATTTTCACACCTTTTGCTCTCGTCAGTGGGCAAATTCAACAAAGTTACCTCCCTTTACCACAACTTTGTCTGTGAATTTACAACAGGGCTAAGTAATTTGGGAGGGGGGAGAGAATAACCCTGCATACAGTAATGCTTATGGTTATATAAAGAAGAAGATTCTATTAAATACATGTATTAGTATACACTCTACAAATATCAATAAATGAAAATAAATTACTAATGGTTATGATTACATAAGAGAAGATCCTAATTGATATCAAGTAATACACACTCTTCAAATCTCAACAAAAATAAATACTAATGTTATGAGTATATACGAACAAGAGAAGACTCACTGGTTTTTTAAGTATCACTACTAGCTAAAAAATTCCCTCTGTCAAGCATTCTATAGGTTACATTTTAGCTGCCGTTAATAATTCTTAAAAGCTGGTTGTACTCTTAAAAGAAATAAAACTCTTGAGTGGTAAGCTCTAATCCTGGTCCTGGAAACAATTTTATTTAAAGGGAAGCAAATTGAATTATTTAAAAAATGTAATTCTTCAAGGATAAAATTTGGAAAATAAATTTTCAAAAATATTTATGCACTAGCATAGGAACATCCTTATTAATGATGTATATTTTGGAGATAATTCTATTTCAGAAAGAAAGAAGTTTACAGGTGTAATAAAGGATAATAATAGCAATATTTTAATAAAAATTACAATTAATGCCTTCATCCCTCCAAAAAAAAATGCCTCTATTCTCTATGAATTAAATGTATGTAGTACTACTTTCTTATCATGAAGATTCTGTTCTCATTTAATGAAGCACATTTGCTTGTTATGAATTAAATGTGTTATTAATCCTTTATCAATTGTGGATGACATAAATTATCCTTAAACTTCGTACACTGTTATGTAAGTCAATGACCAATCTGTAGAAATCTGTTTTGAGTCTTTTGTCTTTTGACAAACTACATCATATATCAGCCGAGCCTTAATTCCTTTCAGTTTAGCAAAGTTCTCAGCACATGTATAAACATATACACACTTCTTAAGAAAAAACTCTGGCATGTAAATGTAACTCAAGGAACCATAAAATAATCTAAAAGAACATAACTGAGTTACAGAAGTAGCTCTCACCATACATTGTCTTTCATTGCTAAATTGTATTGTAAATGTAAATAAATAAAATAAGTCATAACAACCCCTATTATACAAATCAAACCCTAATAAATATTACAAAATAAATATAAATATGAAATATACATTATTCATACATTTCTAACACCAGAATACTGTACTTGCATAAAATAAAGACAGAACAACATGTGTCCAATGTTTTTCTCACCGTTTTAGATGAACAGTAAAATACTTTTATAGCAAACATGCCTATATGATAAATTGACACTTACAGCAAAGTAATTTTCATTCCCGATGACTTAAAAAATACTGTCAACTTAACGGATATAATAAATTTCGCTTATAGCGATGCATAATCATCCATCCCAGACACTTCATTGTTAGCGTGTTTTACTTGTACTTTTGTTTTAAAACTCCTGTCAAACAGTGGGTTCATAAGTACTTAGGTACATTTGATTTCTTCAGTATCTCATAATTTAATTTACAAATACAAAAATGATCATTTCTAAAATTCCACATTCACTTGTATTATAATAAATCTAGATCATTATGAAACCCCTCTCTCGGGTTTTCTAAAAGAAATATATATATATATATATATCTCCTTTAAAATAAGTTTATAAAAGTAAGAGTCCTTATTTTCTACATTTGACAAAAGTGTCCTAGTATTAATTCTTTGTAAATCCATTCAAAATGTCATTTAGTGGTTTAAATTTAACAAAATAATTCTTCAACTCCTTTATAAGACATAAATCCAAAAATACAAACAACAAAAAAATTCTTCCACTTTTTTATCAGAATTAAAACAAAACAAAAAATACCCAAACAAACTAATATGAAACTCTTCCTGAGTTTACATCCCTTACAAAAATAAACACGAAAAGATTGTTATAAAATTCAAAAGATTACACGAGAATCTAGCTCATGAAGAAAAATTGCTCTCACACATAACAATGTTTACTTAGAAAATAAATACAGGAAGCAGTAAAAAATATATATATAATAATCATTACGATTCATTCAATGGTTTTGCAAATATAAATACATGTACCATGTAAGTATCAAAAAGATTATAATTATAATGAATTCTTATACAAAAGATTTCATGCTAAAATCAATGGAATTGAAAACAAATATTGGTCTTGTACATGTAAACAGCATATGAACCTGGATTGATTGTAAGTGAACAGGGACAGACAATAAAAAAAAAATTATTTCTGAACACATTTTCATTAAAGAAATGTATGAAAGACTGACAAAGAGATTTCAAATACTCATAATAATCAGTCTCTTTTCAAACACTGATCAGAAAATAGTCCCTAGAAAATACTATTTTTAATTGATTGCCAAGAAATGCATAAAATCCTCCTTGTTCTCTATGGGCGACCTAGTGGGCCGGCCCAGATCTTTACGACTTCCTGTCCTTGATTTTATCTCCAGAAGGACTGGTCCATCCATCCCCCTCATGTCCAGTACACATTGTGCCACCTCCTCTGGGGTAACAGCTACCATTGTCTGAAATTTAGGACATCATACAAAAATTTTATCTACTTAAGAAATATGTTAAGATAGCCTGGCTCTTCAATTGAACAAAATAGAATTTCCTTTACCAAGGGATGCTTTGTGGTATATTTGATTACAAATGGCCCAGGAAATCAAGACAAGAGGCCCAAGGGCCTTAACGGTCACCTGAGTATAATACAACAATTTAGAGGATCCATAGAGTATGAAATGAACTGAAAGGTGAAGCTTTATTGCCCAAAAGCAAGAAAAATAGGGTGATCAGGATCAACAAAATAATTAGTTTAGTATTCCTTAAAAGTTTCTAAATTAGGTTCTAATCTGCTCCCCATTTATCACTATCAATATACAGTATTAACAAACTATCATTGCTTCTGTACTATTTTAATTCCTTGTTGAAATCTCTTACATTGGCCTCTCTTGGTCTTTCATAAACATTTAATAAGACAAGTTATTTTTGTCTCATTTTTATTGATCTATTACTTACAAGTCTACCTGATCATTAAAACTATGAAAGTACTTTTTGTATAATTCAATAAAATATCTTGCATAATTCTCTTATTCTATTAACCTCTCAAGTACATTATTTACAGTGATTAATTATCAAAAGTAAATGGCAAAGGATAATAATAACTCCTTTCAGTAGAATACAAATTAATAGAGCCCTGGCCAGGACCAGAACACTTGACCAAATGGTCCAGATGTTCAAAAATCTGGTAAAAATACCCTTCCTCATTTTAAAAAACTTTTACCCTTTTTGCCTCTGATATGCCCAAGTGCAGAAAAGATTTTCAAAGAAATAATACATTTATACTACAGATTCACTATATTATCAATAGAGCCCCCCCCCCCCCCACCGAGCCTCTCACCCTGGGACCAGAAGTTTGCTCATCATATTAAGTAATTACTTTGTTTATCTGCTTAACACTAAGGAGCAGACAGGATTATTTAATAGAATTAATGCATTTTCACTATATTATCAAGAGCCCCACCCTAATGCCCTGTTCACACGGAGAGTTTAATTCGAATTAAACGTAAGTTACTGCGAATTAAATATGATCCGCATTCACACGGAGAATTTAATGCGAATTAGTTTAATTCGAATTAGTTTACTGCGCATTAAATTACTTCGCATGAGCTCCGTGTGAACGCTAGGCGAAGCTAATTCGAATTAAATTTTGACACATGCGTAAGTGCAGAATTAAGTCACAGGCCACATGTCGGTGGTCAGATATAGGTATTTGTGCTATTTTTGAGTGGAAAACAAAGGGAAATTATGATAATCACTAAAATGTGTACAGACACTATGACATTATGTCAAATCAGTGGTCAAATGTATCTGCTCGGCACAATGTGACGTGATTCGCAAAGTGACGTCATAATAGCCTTACTGAATAGCCTTATTGTAGAAATAAAAATTTAATTCACATTAGTTTACTGCGCATTAGTTGTCGTGTGAATGCAATTTAATTCGCATTAGTTTAATTCACATTAGTTTACTTCGCATTAATTTACTGCGAATTAAACTCTCCGTGTGAACAGGGCATTACATGAGCACATCTGACCCAGCTAGGGGTCATGCAATTCACTACTCTAGAAGAAGCACTCTTGCTCATCATAACTATACACTTAGCTTCTTTGCTTTTTAACTAGAAGCAGAAAAGAATATAAACAACTGAAAGAAATTTTGCCTTTTTACTATATAATCAATAGAGCCCCCTCCCTTTCACCAGAACCCTTGACCCTGAGGCCATGAATTTCACAATTTTAGTAGAGTCACTCTTGCTTATCATAACTATGTATTTAACTTGTTTAAATAATACCCAGGAGTAAAGAAGAAGATTTTCAAAGAAATAATGCACTTTCACTATGTAATCTACATGTATATAGCCCCACCCTAGCACCAGAACCCCTGACCCTGGGGCTATGAATATCACAATTTTGGAAGAGGCATCCTTGCTTATCATAACAATGTACTTAGTTTGTTTAAATAATACCCAGGAGTAAAGAAGAAGATTTTTAAAGCATTAATGCATTTTCACTATAGAATAAACAGAGCCCCGCCCTAACACTTTACCCCTGATCCACGGGCCATGAAATTCACAATTTTGGAAGAAACATCCTTGCTTATCATAACTATGTATTTAATTTGTTTAAATAATACCCATGCAGGAGTAAAGAAGAAGATTTTCAAAGAAATAATGCACTTTTACTATATGACCTATTTAGCCCCGCCCTAGCACCAGAACCCCTGACCCTGGGGTTATGAATTTCAAAATTTTGGTAGAGTCACTCTTGCTTATCATAACTATGTATTTAATTTGTTTAAATAATACCCAGGAGTAAAGAAGAAGATTTTCAAAGAAATAATGCACTTTTACTATATGATCTATATAGCCCCGCCCTAGCACCAGAATCCCTGACCCTGGAGTTATGAATTTCACAATTTTGGTAGAGTCAATTTTGCTTATCATAACTATGTATTTAATTTGTTTAAATAATACCCAGGAGTAGAGAAGAAGATTTTCAAAGAAATAATGCACTTTCACTATATGATCTATATAGCCCCGCCCTAGCACCAGAACCCCGACCCTGGGGCCATGAATTTCACAATTTTGGTAGAGGGCTCAACGCTTATTACAATCATGCCAACAGTTTGACTGCTTGATGTCCAGGAGTAAAGAAGAAGATTTTTAAAGATTGCATTAATTTTGGTGGTTTTAGCCCAATCCCTCAGGCCCCAGGGGGGCAGGGACCATGAAATTCACAAATTTTGTTCCCCTTCATACATAGATGCCATATGCTAATATTGGCTGAAATTGGTTTAGCAGTTTCAGAGAAGAAGCTGAAAATGTTCAAATGTTAACACACGATGGACGGCTGACGACGGACAACGATGGATGAAAACAGATAGCAATAGGTCACCTGAGTGACTCAGGTGACCTAAAAAGAGGAATAAAATATCAAAATTTTAGTCAGCACACAAAACATAACAAATTTAAGAACTTTTCAATAAACAAGAGGCCCAAGGGCCTTATCGGTCACCTGAACACAACAATTTAGAGGATCCATATACTGATAAATGAAACTTTGTTGCCCAATAGCAAGAAAAATACTACTATTATGATCAACAAAATAATTGGTTTAGTATCTTTCTATCTGTCCCCCATTTATCACTATTACCATGCAGACTTTTAATAAAATGTCTATATTATTACCTCTCACATTGGCCTCACTTGGCTTTTGAAGAACATTTAAGAAGATAAGTTATTTTTGTTTCATTTTTATTCACCTATTATTTCCAAGTCTACCTGATTATTAAAACTATGAAAGTACTTTTTGTATTATACAATAAATGTTCTTGCATAATTCTCTTATTCTATTAACCTTTCAAATACATTATCTACAGTGATTAATTATCAAAAGTGAATGGCAAAGGGGAATAACTTCACTCAATAGAATACAAATTAATAGAGCCCTGGCCAGGACCAGAACACTTGACTAAAAGATCCAGATGTTCAAAATTCTGGTAAAAATACCCTTGCTCATTAAAACTTTTACTCTGTTTGCTTCCAATATGCCCAGGAGCAGAGGAGATTTTCGAAGAAATAATGCATTTTCACTATTTAACACAGCCTTACCCTAACACCAGAACCCATGACCTTGGGTCATGAAAATTTACAAATTTGGAAGAGGTACTCTCTTCATCATAACTATGCAATTAGTTGAAGATTTTCAAAGAATTCACACATTTTAAATATATAATCAAAAAGAGACCCCCCCCCCCTTTTAGAGAAACAACAGAACCCCTGGGACCACAAGTTTGAAAATTTTTGTAAAAGCATCCTTGCTCATCATAACTATACACTTGTTTCTTTGCTTTATAACCAGGAGTAGAAAAATATTTTGAAAGAAATTATGAATTTTCACTATATAATCAATAGAGCCCCCCCCCCCTTCATCAGAACCCCTGACCTAGGGGCCATGGAATTCACAATTTTGGAAGAGGCAGCCATGCTCATCATAACAATGTACTTACTTAGTTTATTTCATACCCAGGAGCAGAGAAGAAGATTTTCAAAGATATAATGCATTTTCACTATATAAACAATAGAGCCCCACCCTAATGCCAGAACCCTTGTCCCAGGGGCCATGAAATTCACAAATTTGGAAGAGGCAGTCATGCTCATTATAACTATGTACTTAGTTAGTTTATTTCATACCCAGGAGCAGAGAAGAAGATTTTCAAAGATTAAATGCATGTTCACTATATAATCAATAGAGCCCCGCCCTAACACCAGAACCCCTAACCCAGGGGCCATGAAATTCACAATTTTGGAAGAGGCAGCTATGCTCAACATAACTATGTACTTAGTTAGTTTATCTAATACCCAGGAGCAAAGAAGAAGATTTTCAGAGAAATAATGCACTTTCACTATATGATCTATATAGCCCCGCCCTAGCACCAGAACCCCTGACCCTGGGGCCATGAATTTCACAATATTGGTAGAGGGCTCAATGCTTATTACAATCATGCCAACAGTTTGACTGCTTGATGTCCAGGAGTAAAGAAGAAGATTTTTAAAGATTGCATTAATTTTGGTGGTTTTAGCCCCACTCCTCAGGCCCCAGGGGGGCAGGGACCATGAAATTCACAATTTTTTCCCCTTTACCCATAGATGCTAATATTGGCTGAAATTTGGTTGAAATTGGTTGAGCGGTTTCGGAGAAGAAGCTGAAAATGTTTAAATGTTAACGCACGACGGACGACTGACGATGACAGACAAAAACAGAAAGCAATAGGTCACCTGAGTGACTCAGGTGACCTAAAAAAAAAAGCAGCTGAGCCGTTGGCCAAAGTGATCTAAAAATACACATGGAGTTACAGATACTAGTAGCTCCTATAAAGCTTAACACATTAAGCAGAACTCTGACAGATAAAAATGAATATATCTTTTAAATGATCTTATCCCTTAATGTGTATCTTTATGCTGTAATAGTGCCTACCCTTCTGTATCCACATCCTTCAGCAATTTTTGAAAATGAGAACTCGTCATGGTTGGCTGCATCTGTTGGTTGTCCTCCTACAGAATCATGGGCGCCATTGTTGATGATGATGTGTTTGAAATTGGTCTGATTTGACTGGCCAACTGTTGCCATGGCTCCCATGTGCATGATGACTGAGCCATCTCCGTCCAAACATAAGATCTGTCTCTTGGGTTTCTGCATGGCCACCCCTAGGGCTATTGTGGAGGTATGCCCCATAGATCCCACTGTTAAAAAGTCTTTCTCATGGCCCATGTCCTTGGCAACCCTTTATTTTTCAAAATATATATGTACCATCATGTTTAGTTAATGGTTTATTACCGTGATTTTGAACTGGTTACCTTTAACCAACAACTTCTCCCCTCTCCCCTCCCAATAAATCTGTTTGCAAAGAAAAAGTTGTTGAAAATCATTTCATTAGCAATTTTAATAATATGTATCTATCTTTTATTTTTCTCGTATTCTTGGTAAATTTCAAATCAGGGATAAGTTCTATGCACATGTACTTTATCTTTATGTATGATCTGTACCTAAATGCAAGGCTATAAGTACATTGTACCACATAGGTTTGAGTATTACCAGAGCATTGTTGTAGTTTACCTGTACTCAAACAGTTCCCTTGACAACATTCCAGTGGCACTAATTACCACATCCTTCTGACTCAGGTTATCTATTATAATCTTCATCGCTTCCTCTCTAGACAACTTGTACCTAAAACAATTCCAATAGTTAGAAAATGACTTCTTAAGTCAATCATCTCACATATTTTATTTCTCAAAGATAAAATAATACCTTTTCAGTTCTTTCTGATTCATTTTCTTAAATACAGAATATTTAACCTGATTGATCCATATCTATATACATACAGTGGAAATAAAATTATAGCAAAAGTGCCAGGGACAAACAATATTAATTTTTCATAAATGTAATTCATTATATATAATGAATTCATAATACATTTTAATTAAAATGTATTATGAACTCATTATATATAATGAATTACATTTATAAGACTACAAGAAATGAAAATCACTTCACTGTAAGCATAAATTTGTTATAAGCATACTACATATAGCTGTACCTCTGTTTTATTGTATAAACATGTACATGAATATACAGAGAGGGACACCATTTATTCAGTTCTATTAGTGTTTTAAAATTTTTATACACAAATCAGAATTTATTTTAAAATAATGAGTAAAAAAAGTCTTACTCCTCTGGTGTTGGTATCTTCTTCAGTTTGTATGGTGCAAATGTTTGTCTCTTGACAAGAAATGCATAGGGTGCATTAGACTTCTCCATGTAGTGTTTAGCAGTCAGCAAAGCCTAAAAACATAGCAGTGATACTCAGCTAACACTACATTCAACTTCCTGCAGTTTTTATGGTTTAGTTCTGTAAAGGTTTTTTTTTTTGTCTTTTATTGTTGGGTACTCAGAATAAAATACATTATTAACTTGAACAATCTTAACGAGGCCAAGTCCAATTTCGAAAGCGAATGTCTTTGCGAAGCTTTATAGTTTCATGCAGTCGTAGGTGCAACATTACACCGATCCTAAATACAAAATTAACATTATACATGTATTATATTATCTGTAACGTTTATGGGTCTTAAAATGTGCTTTTAAGACAATAATTAAAGAATAAATGCTGAAATGGTTTTCACAACATCACTGTTTTCCAGTTCTGTAAGCAATCATGACGCTGAAGAATGATGCATAACTCGCTTGAGTATTCAAATGTCGTATGGACATTTTATTAAAAACTATTGACAGAACATCAAAAGAAACATAACCTCTGGTTATTATTTTTTTTACCAAAATAATTCATCTGTGCTGATATATATACAAAATGTATGCCGTAATATGGCAAATTTAGAGGTATTGGGCATTGGAAAAAAATAAACTTTGTAACAATTCCTACACCAAACCAGATGGTCAACAACTTTTTTGAAATTTCACAATTTGGTGCCTTTTTACAATAACTTTCATGTATTTCATGACTGAAAAGGAAATCCTTAGGGCAGAAATACAAAAAATATGGGGAAAATATGATAAATTGACACTTTTCCAACAAATTTTTATAGGGTCCAATAGTAAAATTTAACAACTTTTGAGATGGCCCCTAAGAAATCGGGATGGTAAACATTTGATTTTTTAATCTTAAAATAACTAGTATATAAGTAAAAGTTCATTCAAGAAATTTTATCAAAATACAAAGGTTAGAAATAATTAGACTCGGTCTCGTTAAGCAATAAACACTCATTTTGAATCCCTATACACTTCTCCTGCTATGGCCAGAACAGAGAGAGAATGTTTGACTTAATATTTACCTTCTTAATGCTACAAATGTCCAATCAACTTGGTGTACTCTATTGTCAAAGTGGCAGATGATAAAATATCCATATAAACATGTAAATAAATACCTGATCAGCACCATCTTCATAGTCAGGAAGTGGTTGGAAAGGAATTCCTAGGGCAGCTAAAATATCGGAAAATGTACAATTCACAATGAAAAAGGATCTTTTATTCCAGCAATAGAGCTATTATTTAGAAAAGATGAGAAAAATGCAAATCTACTTGTATTCACACAGTCATACAGAATTAAGGATCCTTTCGAAAGAATGAAGCTTAAATATTGTTTCAGAATGTGAAAGATTGTCACTTGTCAGCCCTTAACATTAAATATACCAAGAAGTCCTGGAGTTGCCTGCCCCTGTACCAGATGTTGTGGTTCATCTCTCTTGCCTGGTTCCCCTCTCCAGCCAATTAGAAGGATCATAGGCACACTGTATACTGACGGGGAAGTCAGCGACATTACTGGGTTAATAATATTGCCCAAACCAGAATTCTATAACACAAAAAATTATTTTTTTATCATGGTTTTAAGAGAAAAAGTTTTATTCATTTACTTATTTTTAATTTTTTTTTGGGGGGGGGGGGGGATATCTTCTATCATTTTTTTGTGCTAGCAAGCTATTAATATTTCTTTCAGTTCAAAATTTAAGTGTATATTATATAATTCATGGCTGACTTTGTCACATCACTGCGGGAAGGTACATGTACCCTCATCATCGCCAATCAAGGTCACTATCACACCGTTTCACCTCAACCCAGATTAATTCTCAATGGCCAGGGATTACAGCAATTAAAATCTATTTGCAAGAATTTGAATATAACAAAATCACAGGTACTTGTGCACAGATCTCTCTTATAATGTATAGTGGGGTATTTTTGTATGGAACGATTATTTGGGGGTTATCTCGATTTTTTTCCTATGATACAAAAGATGAATAAGAGTAATAAATATAATTTGTGAAAAAAATGTCCCACACACATCGGGGTTGCATGGGGGGGGGGGGGGGGACCTGTCCACAAGTACCTGTGTAACAAAATGACACAAATACTGTGCTCTACATTTATAATATAACAGATATTAAGCCTAAGCCTAATGCCTAACATATTATCAAATAGCTCCTTAGAATTTTTCTTAGCTCCAAAACAATCAATCAACATACACCAAGGATATTAAATACAATTGTACATTTATAGTAATTTAAAAAATTTCATACCTGCAGATATACCATAGGGTGCTTGCCAGTTGCTAGGTGATAACCTGTTGCTACAGCTACAGCATTGCCCTCGTTTGCAGTGATAACATGCTTTTCTTTGGGTGCATTTTGTGTGACATAGGCACAAAAATCTGAAATAAGAAAAGGTACTAGTAAAATCTGAAATAAGAAAAGGTACCAATATCAGCATGAATGAAATGTTGCTGGTATATAATATACATTTATTGACTGAGTTTGAGGGCAACATGCATTTTGTCAGACCCAAGAACCAAACTGTTTGCCTGAGGTCGTTAGGTGAAAGGCGTTAGGTGAAAGAATCAGAACAAAATAGGCGTTAACATCGATTTATGATATAATTCTGAAAGAATAAGAACTACCTCAGCCATTCTTAGGCTACTTTAAGACTTGAATAAAATTCAATAGTTCCAAGTACTCCAAAAATTATCTCGACTTCTTCATAAATATATTATTAAATAATATTTTTTGTACATGTACATTATTTTGTAATCTATCCTGCAATCCTTCTACATTTCATATAAAACCAGACACATAACCATAAAGTTCACTCTAGAGAGCTACTAAAAGCTACAAAGGTTTAAATGGTGTACCTTTCAATAGTGAGTCTGGTACACCACAGAAGAAGTCCACGCCGATATTGAGACAGGATTTGTAGAACTCGTCTGGCAGTAAGAAGTCTCGCACTAACTCTGTCAACTCTCCTGCATCCTCGTTCCTTCTTTGCTGCTCCTCATATTGCTGAAAAAATGACAAATCTTTGTAAGTTAAGCAGTACTGGTACTTGTTTTTCACGGTGTCAAATTCAGAGGAATCACAATTTCTGTTCAATCCCTGGGTAGAAAATTACGCAGATTTCTGAGATTGCCACTATATGCCTTAAATTCACTTCAAATTTACAGGACAAATTTTTGTGGAAAATTCTTGACCACATAGATGGCGTAAATTAATACCACATGGTAAAAAGTACTTCTACAGTATTTTTAATTCAAAGGAGTTAGGACATATAACATCTTTGTTTATTTTCAAAACTTTTTTCAATCAGTAACTTTTCAAACAAATATCTAATATTAAAGGATACTTGCATATACCTGCATATCAAATATGTAAATTGTAATACTATAACATCTATTCAATAAAGAATTTTCCTGTATGTATACTATCTTGTAAATTCCAAAATCCTAGCATTCACAATCTTTCAATCCTGCTTCCATGGGCCAATTAGAAATTAAAGTTTACTTTAACCTTTGGCTCACATAAGCTAAGCACAATTCAAAACCAAGCACCCAAAAATTATAACCATCCTCCCCCCCCCCCCCAAAAAAAAAAAAAAAAAAATTATCTGTATAATTAAATAAGAACAGCTGAACTTGAATGTCAATATATAAAACATTAGAGATATATTGGCATGACTTCAGTTTTATCTCTGTATAGTTTGAGTTCAAGTTTCAAATTTTTTTCATGAAAACTCGGACTTTTTTTTTTCAAAGATATTGCTAATCAGCAAAGTTTGAGAAAACTGATGTTGAATAGTAGTTAACATATACAAATATAATCTAGAATATATCCAGATATTTTCATTTAATTTTATCAGTGTTATAGATCTATGAAAGCTCATTGAGTTCATTTCCTATGTAAAAAAAAAAAATTATTTTTTCGCGTAATAAAGCGTACCTTTCGCAAATAAATGTGAAACTTTCGCGTTATAACATGTAACTTTCATGTTATAAATGCATAACTTTTGCGAATAAATGAGCAACTTTCACATTATAACGCGTAACTTTTGCGTTTCCATTTCCTTTTAATTTAATAATCTAGTTTACTCATTATAATGAAAAACGAAAGACTATTTTGAATTTGGATTATCACAATTAAGCTGAAATTTTAAGTTTTCTTGCCACTGAATGTGTCTTTCCTCCTAAAATCTAAATCTCTTTTGCTGTCACATTTTGTCTTTCTCAACATTGTTCAAATATTTTGAAAGTTTATGCAAGTTTTTCCAAAGTGAAACTTTATAATTCTGAATTTTGGGAAAATGATCCCCTTTTCTGGTGTCATTTTTTAAAAACTTACAGTCTATTGAATTTGAAATAAAATTAAGATCTCAGAAAATTGACAAAAAAGTGGTAATTTTTTTTTCTTTAACCTATAAAAATGAGCTCAATGGGCTTTCATATATATCATATACATTCAGTGTACAAAATTCATGTTAGTCCATGTTACCAAAACTTTTCATCAGGATAGACAAATTTTTAATAAAGATCAAGGAATTTCTTACCTGGTAATTTTGAAAAATATGACATCTGGGTTAGACAATTTTTGTACACTGTATTATAGTGTGTGTGTGTATGTATATATATATATATATATATATATATATATATATATATATATATATATATATATATATATATATGATGGAACATGCTACATACATGCATATGCCACATACATTACTCTGACAGTGAAAAGAATATTAGATGCATGCATGTACAACAGAAAAGCTGACAGAAGGTGACCGTTGATCAATATGTGCATGCGTAGTTGATTAATATGTATAATATCTAGGGATGGCAATGAATATTCAAACATTCGAATATTCATTCGATGAGTTGATATTCGAAAATGAATTTAAGATTCGAATATTCAGTGTTTTTTAGATTTCATAAAAAGAAGTACTGTGATTAATAAATTTTGATTAGAACAGTGCTGGAATTATCTCTGTTTAATTTACTAGCAATTAATTTTGATGGCCTTATTTCTTTCACTACTTTTTTATCTTATAAATCTACTAAATTACATGTATTTTGTTTTGAGTAAGGTGTTAAAGAATTGTACAATAATGCTTTATGTATAATAAAAAACGTACTTTCATAGTTTTTATTAGTTAGATACAATCGGATCTAGAATTGAGGACAAATGAAATCTAAGAATGTCTAAAAGGCATGAAGAGTAACTATACTTACTAAAAAAAATTAATTGATCATTGAATGAATGTCCGATAGAATTAATCTGTAATTAATTCTGTAAAGGGCTTAATTTCAGAACAAATGTGTAAATCACTTGATTATCTCGGGTTGTACATAATCCTGAATTTTATATCCATTATTGAGAAATTAGTTAATTACCTATACGAAAATTGTCTATGGAAATATTTGTTTACTTTGTGCCAAAGATTATAATCATATCTCTTATATTAGGCAGATAATTGTAATTTATTACGACACGTATTAAAATCTGAACAGTATACCGTTAAGACTATCTTGCCTTTTGTAAGACGACTGGTTCCTCAGTTTGAGCTACTAAAAATACACATTTTGTTAAAATTATACTTTTCTACATTTAAATCAATTATTTATTTCAAAAATTGATAAATATCAAATGGAATTTCTTATTGTACACCTACAAAAGTCTTCATACAATTTTACTTCCAATATAAGTATATACCTACACTAACCCTTTCATGAGAGTAGGATGATGCATATTTAAAATAAAACAGATTTCATTTATTTTATCGAATATTCGAATATATTCGAATACTTTCATTGAATATTCGAATATGAATTATTGACAAAATTGACATCCCTAATAATATCAGAATTTTCACTTTATGAAAATTCTGTTGCCTTTTCTGAAAATCCTATTTATAGATTAAATAAGAAAATAATTATCCTTTTAAAATATATTCAGCCTTTTTCTCCATGCCTTTCATTTTAAAATCATTCTAAAGATGGTATTGATGTTGGCATACTCAAATATAGAGGTATCTTGACTATATCAATGATTTAATCTGTTACAGTATATTTTAAGTATAATATACAAAGATTACACTGTTTGCAAATTTTTTTTTTTTTTCATGCAAAATTTGAATTAATATTTACATCTAATAAATGCATTTGTTGCCAATTGTTGATTCTCAGTCTTGAAGATTTTTATTCAGAAAATTATCACAAAAGATGAAAATATTTCCAGAAGTCAGGTGACTCTTAAGGCGCAAAATGAATTTCACTCCTGCCTTAAGCTTTATTGCCCATAAAAAAATGTACTTTGCCTTTCTATTACATTTGCAAGAATAACCAATATATGGTTCACAGCACTTATTTCCTTTTTAATGCATGGTAGATAAAGAGTACAGCACATCAGCTTGACAATCACTCTGATTTTAAGACAGCTTTTTTTTTTAAATCTATAATTTTATAAGCACCTTTGTACAAACAGGTATATTTATAATATTTTGGACTTTATCTTAGAAATTTTCACCAAACTTATCTTCATTTAACAATTGCAAGTTACTCTATTCAATGGTATTACTCAGAAAGTTTTCTATTGTCCAAAAAAAATGGCCATTTTGCACTTATGGTTATACTGCTTGCAAGATCGCTTAAACTTTATTTCTCTGAAATAGAAAGAGTGTTCCACATGTCTTCTTACTTGTCAAATGATAGCATTAAGTCAGCTTAACTAAAGCATCACAAACACTATAGAGACAAGCAACACAATAAACTAGAGCTGACAATTATTTTAATATGAGCCTTACCTTCTCTTGTTTGCTCTAAAATTATGAGATATATACATATATATATATATATATACATAAAATATATATACATATAAAAGCTGTACACAGAAAGTCATCATGTTATACATGGCAAAACAAATATCAGTACAATATATAATATATATACAGGTGCATCTGCAGAGCTGTCAAAATTTTCAGAGAAGTGTCAGACTTTATAACTGACAAAGCATACCAAACAAATATCTATTACTTCAGAATCATGTTTTTGATTATTTACATATATCATTATGAGAATCCTGACTGATATATGTCAAATAAATTAATAAGTCCATGCAGGCAAATTTTATCTTAATTTAATTGCCAACAGTAAGAGTGATATTGAACAACTGATTTTTTTCTCCACTACATAGTCATTGTTACACATTTTGAAATGAAAATTTAATCAACATGTGGGTGGGAAGGTGAATTGAAGCTTTTTTTTCTTCTAGGAAGAAGAGCATAATTATCATAATTAAGAAATCATTTTTAAGATCATTCTAATTTCAAATTATTACCAGCAGCATTATTCCTCAGAATTTGAAACAGGGTAACACAATTACAAGTATGTTTCAAAACATTTTTTTTTTCAAACACTACCTTTTCTTGATCTTCTAAATTCAGAGACATAGTAACATAAGTTCAGATTTTTAAAAAAGAATTAACATTTACTTATACATGTAAATATATACTTTCTATCTTTAATTATTCTTCATACCATTTACATCAAATAACTTTCATCAAAATGAAAAAAAAATCCAACTCTACAGTAAAATAAACAAGCTAATTTGCATCCCCAGCTTAAGGAAAAATGAGGAGGGTGGAAAAACAAAAAACAAAAATTTGCAGTTGGAGAACTAAAAAAAGTCAACCTTGACCATTCAGCTTTTGTCCTTAAAGTCAATAGGGTTTATTTTTGGGTTTAAGAAATTCATGACCTTAAGCTTTGGTCTTCTTTGTTCTTTAGGCCCTACTCAGGGAGTTGTGATTTTAAATTCTATTGAAAACAAGAGGCCCATGGGCCACATAACTCACCTAGTACATGTAATTGGCTAGGAAAAAGCAGAAATCAGTTTAGTATGGAAAAGATTAAATAAGTGATCGCAAATAACCCCCAGGGGAGAGGGGAGGGGAGGAATGATTTGTTCACTTGAATCTACACTAACTGAGGATGCTTCCATATTTCTTTGACTACTCATGGTTTAGAAGATTTTTTTTCTATATGTTTGATCTTCTGTTGTTGCCCTGTCCTACCCCAAGGAAACATGATTTGAACAAACTTAAATCTACACTACCTGAGGATGCTTTTGAATTAATATGACTAATCATGGATTTGCTATTCATGAGAAGAAGATTTTTAACAATTTATTCTATGTATTCCCATGTAAAATTTTGATCACCAATTGTGCCCCCTCCCTACCCCTGGGGGTCATGATTTGAACAACTTGAATCTAAAATACCTAAGGATGCTTCCATATAAATATGACCAATCATAGCTTTGCTATTTTTGAGAATAAGATTTGATTTTCAAAGATTTTTTATTGAATGCAAACCATCTGAGGATGTCTTATCACGGCTTTGCTGTTCTTGAGAAGAAGATTTTTTAAATATCATGTTAATCGTGGCTTTGCTGTTCTTGAAAAGATGATTTTTACAGATTTTTCCTATGTATACCTATGTATGACTTCGATCTATCATTGTCGCCCCTCTCAATCCCCAGTAGTCATGATTTGAACAAACCTGAATCTACACTACCTAAGGATGCTTCCACATAAATATGACTAATCATGGCTTTGCTGTTCTTGAGAAAATTTGATTTTTAAAGATTTTTCCTATATATTCCTTATGCAAAACTTTGTTTGCTCATTGTGACCCCACCCTAACCCTAGGGATCATGATTTGAAAAAATTACACTACCTAAGGATGCTTTAATATAAATATCACTAATTATGACTTTATTGTTCTTGAGAAAAAGATTTTTAAAGATTTTCAGATTTTCCCCAATGTTTTCCTGTGTAAAACTTTGATCGCCCTTTGTGGCCCCATCCTACCCCCAGGGGTCATGATTTGAACAAACCGGAATCTACACTATGTCAGAAAGCTTTTTACATAATAAGTTTCATCTTTTCTGGCCTGATGGATCTTGAGAAGAAGATTTTTAAATGACCCCACCCAATTTTACTTTTTCTTAATTATCTCCCCTTGGAAGATGGTGTGGCCCTTCATTTGAACAAATTTGAATCCCCTTTACCAATGGATACTCTGTGCCAAGTTTGGTTGACATTGGCCCAGTGGAAGAAGATGAAAATGTGAAAAATTTACAACAACAATGACAGACAACAGACAAATTTTGATCAGAAAAACTCACTTCAGCCTTCATCTCAGGTGAGCTTAAAAGTCAAAAGAAAACTAAAGTTATAATCTGGAAAATGATATTTGCAATGTACAGTCAAACCTCATTATCTGAAACTCGATGGGACCAAGAAAATACTTCAAGATATCCGTGGGTTAAAGATACTGAGGGTAAAACATTGTATTCGAGATATCCATGTTTGAGATACTGAAGTTCAACTGTATATGATTTCTGACCTTGACTTTTGACGTATTGGCCTCAAAATCAATGAGTCTTAAGGCCATAAGAAGTTGTGAAATAAAATTTCATTGCAAAATCTCAAAGGCTTCTTAAGATATTGCCTGGAATTTCTGACCTTGACTTTTGACCTCAAAATCAATAGGGGTCTTCTATAAGTCATGCAGAATTATCATATAATATTTCATTGCAAAAGCTCAAAGGCTTTCTGATTGATTGTATGTTGTTTTACGTCCTGTTTGAGAATTTTTCATTCATACAAAGACATCACCATTTACCAGTGAAGGGCTTCAAATTTAGACCTTTACTCGGCACTCGGGCCACTGAACAGTGAGAGTTCTTTATTGTGCCAACGCCTTTCATGACACAGGGCCTCAGTTTTTGAGGTCTCATCCGAAAGACCCACAACTTTCACTTCAAAGTGCCGAGCTCTTGGTGAAGGGACAGTTGCTACCTATTTTTTATCAACTTAGGTCAATCGTGGCCATGATTCGAACACGTCCTTCACGGATTGAGTGCTCTACCGACAGAGCCTCTGTGACAGTCAAAGGCTTTTTGAGATATTAGTTGGAAACAGAAACTGTTACACACAGACAGACACACAGATATATGGATAGACAGACACAAATCAATATCCCCCATGTTCAGTGAAAATGGGGACAAAAATATAAAGAAGTTCCACTAAGGTATATCATCAAAACCGTACCCCTTCTGCCCACTAGGAGTACCCTGCTCCCTCCGAAAGCTTTGGGTTTGTTCTTTGTTCTCATGCAAAGACTAAGTGTTTGTTTGAAAAACTGCAGAGAATTAATCATGAGTTTGAAACATGTATCACTTACATTAACCTGTTTTCCAGCCTTCAGATAAGAAATTTTTTTTTTAGAAATACAAACCTTGTCTTGTTAATTAACATACAGCTTTATGAATAAGATGTACATTGTGCTTCTATATGTGCACAGTATATTGAATACATCAGATGAAATTAAATGACATAAAATGATGCATTAAATTTGTTTATGTTGTGAATACTGCATGGACATGTATTTTGCATACAAATTATATATGTGTTAAGTATGTGTTATGATGTGCATCTGGATCAGTAGAATACGGTGGGTATCAAAATGAAATCTTTCCAAGATACGATTACAAATATCAGTAGAAATGATTGTGTATCAAAAGCCTCTGTTGAGACTATAGCTCTACTGCTCTGTAGTGGTGCAACAATACCATATACCATTATACCGCAATACAAAAAAAGAAAAATTGTACCATAACAGGGCACATTAATGGTATACCCGTGTATCATGATGTGTAACATTTAAAGCAATTTATGCTATTTCTTTTAAGTTTAAACTAATGAAAATGATCTTACTTTTCCTGTTTTTATTCTGTTCAGAGCTTATCATATGTTACATAATGTATCTGGGGACTGAAAAAATAATCTACAAAGAAACTCAACTTAAATAAAAAATTATGAAAGGTGAAATATCACATTATGTATCATAATACAGTCCCCGTGTATCATGATATACCATGATACATATTAGCCACATTGTTACACACCTACTGGTTTGTACTTATATGGAAGAAAGAGGAAAAAAACACCTGAACTTGAATTATTTTTTTTCTAGCTTTTATATAATATTTATAGAATTATGTATTCTGATATTTTCTTAACTTAGGCTAAGTTTTCCTGCAATATCATGATACACTGGGACTGTATCATAATATTTCACCTTTAATAATTTTTTTTATATAATTTATATGTCTCTCTTCTGAAATGAGAAATTTTCCTATCTCACTGTGAAAGGATAAAAATTAAAGATTATTTCTTCAAGTTCAAAAACACATTAAGTAACATTTAGTAAGCTCTGAACACAATAAAAAAAACAGCATATTAAGTTAATAAAGAAAATCTCTTATATAAGGTTTATAAGGTTTAACTGAAGATAAATACCCAGTAATATATTTCTTAAATTGTTATATATTCCAGATATACAGGTACACAGTTTTTGTACTGTGGTATGGTACATTTTTTTTTGTATTGCAGTATACTTGAATATCATTACACACTTATCAGATGTATATTATAGACAAGGCTAAAATAATATGTGTTTCTAGTAACCCGACTGACCCCAATTATTACCACCAGGACCCAACCATACTACTCTATTCTAAATCTGGATTTTGAACTCTACTTTTCTTCACTAGTAGAGATTTCTCATGCTCCAGTCAATAAAATGCATGTCTCAGACACGTAAAAATGAGTCTATTCAAGTGTTTTAAAGAGTACACTTGTTTTGTTGTGTGTATATTTATAAATGCTTATGCATATATGACGAAAACAGTTTAATGATTAACTGATGCTTTCAAGATAAAAAGTAAAGTGAAAAGAAAAAATCTCACCTACCTACCTACCCTAATTATTTTTTGGCATGTTACCAGAAACACACATATTTTTTATTTGGCCCAATCACTGTACTAAATTTACATATGCAGATGTGTACATGTAGTACGTTTCACTGATTTTTCCTTTGGCACATAATCCTGATGATTTTATTGTGCAGTATTTTATTAATTTAATACTTCTGTCTTTTCTTATATATCAAATCTTTTTAATCTATAATTTTCCACTGTTTCTGTAACTGTTGACTACTGAGAGTGTGAACATACATGTAGCAAACAATAACACCACAAAGTATTTTTCCTCAATCAGTTTTTGATACAAGGGTCACCCATCCAAAAACAATGTTAATGTTCACCTGCAGCATCCTAAGCAAAGCAAAGCCAGTACTTTTTCATCCTATATCTGTACATTATCCATGCAATTTTTGTCTAAGAAGATTCATATCTTCTTAAGAAGAAATGTGACTTAAAATCTTAAGCTGTTAATTTATCCACAAAGATGGGTCTTATTGTGCAACTAAAGCAAGACTTGATTGGTCCTTAAATGACATATCATCCATGTGAATAAGTTACAGGAAGAGCCTATATTAGTTACCAATTTACTTGCTAATGTATTTGCTAAAAAAAAAAAAAAAAAGATTTGGCCTTTCAGCTGGAAAATCTATGTCAGATAAAGCATATATAGCAAGATTAATAGTGTGTATTCCTTGCAAATTTGGTTCAGGTAGGACTCTTAGCACTTGAATATACTCAAAAAACTTCAACCTTGGAAGTTGACACTGGATGTATAAAATAATTTCTTCTCAACTTAACAAGAGCTAAAATATCATAAAATTGTAAACAAATTGTATCTTACTTATCATTTAATGAACTTTAACACTTTCAACTTATTTGACAATCACATAAACAATCTGATCAATAAAGTATTATGAATTCTATTTTATAAGCTAAAGTAAAAAAGGGAAAAAAAGCAACATATAAATTGTTACCTTCTGATAGGTTTGACTTTTGCAGACTTTAGGTCCTGTGTGAAATTCTTGCTTGATCCCACAACATGAGCGACCAAGGCTAATGTAAATGTTATTTGTCTGCAAAAAGAATGTTGGTGAAAATCATTTTCTTAATACTATGGTCCCTAAAAAAATGACACATAAGTGTACAGATAAATATTGAATGTAGACCTAAAATTTATCTACTTTTTTTCAATCAATGGAATCATATAGTGAAAAAACATTAAACTTTTGACCACACTCATGAACTTCAATGGCAAAAATTTTTCCCACCCACTGTACATGTATTTGATTTTTAATCAACGTTTTGGCATTCAGAAAGAACACAATAGGGCTTAAAGTTTCACGATAAAGACTTTCCATTCACATTCTGGGTGTTAACTTTAAAATCACGCCTTATCTTCGTGTTCAGATCGATCTGACAGTGCTAAAGATACGTGTCAGCTTTTTACTATCGACAAAAAACATCTAATGAACTATATACTTTTCAAGAAATATGCAGACTAAATGAAGATAAACATTTCAAGGAAATTATTACCAGTAATCTAGAAAACCTTCTTAATGTTCCAGCTTTAGCCATTTTACTGCACAACCCTGTGGAAGATCCTGGATTGGATAGTCAACCGTGACAACGCTAACTTCTAGCAACGTGCCTAACGAATTCACAAACCGGAATAAGAATGATCACGGTAATGAGGAAAGAGGGAGTTGAACAGGAGATTTGCATTATCCGGAAAAACCCTGTTACCCGTCTTCTGCAACCAGTTCTGATTAAGAACTTGTGGAATTAAAGTAATATTTATAAAATTAAAAAAAAAAAAAGAAGATAGAATACAGCTCTTAAAGATTCCTCAATTTCCACAGCCTTGATTTTATTCCTTGAATTATGATAAATTTTATATCAAGTCTACAAAATCTACAAAAGAACTTACGACTAAGACCAAAATTTAATTCTGCTTATTACTTTCTAATTTACATTGATTTGAAAATGGTTTTAATCTTTTCAAAAAGAATTTAACAAGATATTTTAATGCTAGCAATTTCAAACAGAATAATTAATTGTGCAAAATTTTTAAATCAACTAAAGTTTTGGGTCTTAGTCGTAAGTTCTTTTGTAAAACGGGCCCCAGAAGACTTGAATCTCATTCATCTGTCAGTCTGTCACGAAAACTTTAACCTTGGTCATAACTATTGAATGAGAAGAGATAGGGCTTTCATATTTCACATGTACAGTGTACAATAACTGTGACAATACCTTTAACAAACTATGATTTCGACCCCGTGACTTGAAATTTGACCTACTTTTCAATATCTTAACAAACTTTAACCTTGGTCATAACATTTGAGTGACGAAAAATAGGGTTTTCATATTTCATATGTACATTACGTGTGACAAGACCTTTCAAAATATACTATGATTTTTTACCCTGTGACCCTGACCTTGAAGCTTTACCTACTTTTCAAAAAAAATAACATTGTTTATATATTATTGAATGAGAAAAGATGGGGCTTTCCTATCTGACTTAATATTTTTCTGAAATGGGAAATGTACTTGTAAAAATATGAAAGCCCTATCTTCTCTCATCCAAAAGTTATTACAAATGTTAAAAGTTTTGAAAATTATGTCAAACTTCAAGGTCAAGAGGTTAAATATCATATCACATTCGGAAACTTTTCAGTTGACACAGGTGATGCGCTAATCAAATATCAACACCATATCAATTCTCATTCAATAGCTTTAACCAATGAAAAATGTTTTGAAAATTAGGCAAAACTTGAAAGTCAAGGTCACAGGGTAAAAAAATAATAGCATGTTTGGAAACGTCTTGTCACTCATTTTTGACTTCATGACCATGAACTAAAATTTTGACATACTTATGAAAAAAGGAGATGGGTGAACATGACGAGCGATAAGCCTATAGTAGGACAAACTTGAAGATGAAAAATTAAATTTCAATTATATCAAAATTTTCCTTGATATTTCGGTTAATATTAAAATATACTTTATGTAAAATCTCTGCAATTTGCAAAAATCCTTCAAAGATTGAAATTATTTGCCTGTGAAATATTAGACGCACACTAGAGTGGGCAAAAAGAGTCATTTTCTCATACTATAACACTATTTTTCGATATGAGTGGGTCTTCGCTCCACCTTTTTGAAAGTTAGTCCTCAAAGTTTGCATAAAAATATACATTTTTTGGTTACCAAAAATATGGAGAAATGACCCACTATACCTTAAAAATATACTTTTATGACATAACATTCGCATCTTTTCGAGAAATACTTAAGTCCATTAAGTCAAGGGTCATATCACAAACATGATTTAAATGCCACTGTTCATCAACACTTGCGTAGTCTAGTGGTTAGCGTGCTAGTCTCGAAAGAAAATAATACTCAGGAATTTTATTGCTAGGGTTCGAACCCCACCAATACCACATTTAATTTTTTTAATAAAAGAAGAAATTTTGCCGAGAAAATTTTTCTCAGAAAAGTTTTGTTTATTACAATTTCATAAATTTCAATAATGAGAAGTTTACTCTAAATATTAAATTCACAAATTAAACATGATTTTTATATTTCTGAAGCTATAGGCTTTCTGCACGCTATGTTCGCCCATCTCCTTAACTTTGGCCTTGCGCTCCTGAAGAGATTAGGTTTTATATTTTTTCACATGTGCATTACTTGTGACAAGAGCTTTCTGATTTAATTATGATATTTGTCATCAAGAACTTGATCATAAAGCTTCATGCAGTTTTGAAAAGCTTTAATCTTTGCCATGACTGCTATCAATTCAATAATTTATGTTTTAATTTTAATGCACAGACAAGACAGGAAACAAACAACAATACAGTTACAACTAATATGCCATAAGTAAAATTGATGCAAAGCGTCAAATCGGCCGCAAACAAAATTAAGTATTTAAAAAAAGAGCGTCCAAGAAAAGTTTCAAACTGTCTTCAAAACTTAAAAGAGCACAAATTGCAAGATTGCTAATCGGATTGATGTATCGGTATGAAATTCAATAGAATAAATGCAAAGTGAAGAAAAATAATATGCATATTCAAGACAATTTTTGACTAGTTTTATCATTTCTTTTTCATTTTTTATTCCTCACTTTTGTCACTGTAATACTAGTATCCGGAAAATCTAATGATTTGCGTTCATATTTTACACACTCCCATGTTTGGGAGTATTTATTGTAAACTCTTTTCAAAAAGTCACGAATTAATATAATGATTATCTGATTAAAAAAAATAATATGAAAATAAAATGGACAAATATAACAGCAATTAAGACTAAGTTTAACGAAAGTTTTTAACATATTTTGCTCATAATTTTATACGTTATCATTAACGAATTATTTACCGAACTAATGAAAAATTACATTTATTTCCCCATGTGCACTTTCTAACACAACCACAAATAGATCCTGCGACCGATAATAAATAATTGCAACCTAACCACCAAGATACCGAAAGCGGGGGACCAGAATTCTTTGAATTTGCTTTTTTGGATGTTTTATCTAGACTTAAATACAGATGTATTATCGGGGGGGGGGGGGGGGATTCTTTTTCTAAACGTAACTTTTTATTGTTGAAAATATTAGTACATTGAAATTCTTTGAAAGTCTACGTGCACCCCCACCTCTTTTTGTGTCGGTATAGTATCAGCGTGGTTATGTATTATATGTATTAATAAAATTTGGTTGTGAAAAAAGTTGGAACCTAAACCCGACTCCATCCCCACCCCCTAGAAATAGGTTTTTGGAGTTTGGGCAATCCCCCCTTCCTTTTTTTTGGGGGGGGGGGGCTTAAAGTTTTTTTTTCGGATAAGTTGTCAAATATATTTTTGACTGGGCTCCCCACTTTCAAAAACGATACTACGTGTCAAGAATAGCAAACTACATGATTGTAACAACTAATCATATGAAAACTTGTATGGCATCAGCTTTTTCGTTCGTCGTCAGCTCTTCTGCTTTTGGGTGATTCACACAAGAGGATGTTCTGAGTATGATCAGACTTCTTACAAATGAGTTGGTGTTACAGGCACTTCAACAGTCTTTTAAAGTCAGTATTTCGCAAATTCTATGGTCCTAATATTGGCTTTTTTTGCAAATGCCCCAGCGCATCGACATGTTCTGGACAAACGACATGTTTCATACTTATTCTGAGGCCACGTATTTTTTTAACTGCAGATTTATCATTACTCCGTTTACCTCCCAAAGATCATAAACTGAGAAAAGTCAAAATTTAGATTTTGAATATCTTGATTCTCAATGAACAAACGTATATTAAAAAACAAAACAAACAAAAACATGTAAGTCTGTCTAATATCTACATACAAACACATAATGAAAATTTTGGTTTATTCTTTTAATTTTTAAAATTATACTGATTTGAAATTTTGCTTAAGTCTGTTCTCAGTTTATGGACAAAACAGGAGACTATAGCTCAAAGCAGATGTGGAAGGTTGATCTCTGATAGAAACCAAGTCCAATCTCTGGTGTTTCTAGGGGTCTGTATTTTTGCGATGTTCACAATTTGCATTGTTTACAGGACAAACGTTTTTCCTCCCTTCTTTCGCAATTCCATTTTTATGGAAATCATATTAAGTCAATGTTGTTCAAAATTTCCAATAGTACATGTATGTCACTGGACAATAAACCAAGGTTATTTGAACGCACATTTATTACAAACAGTATAAAGAACCCGGCCTCATATGAAAAAAAAAGAGTATTATCCTTTTTTATTAACTTGGTGTTTTACAAGATCATGAAAATATAAGATACCCTAAGAGAGAGAGAGGGGGGGGGGGGGTTACCGAAAAAAATGTACACTCAGAATATATTGCGTAACCTTTACAAAACAATTCAAACTTATTTTAAACAATATTTTACAATTCAGACAGAAGAAATTCAATGACAGTTCTAATTACTGCAACATTTTGGTTGCAATTAAGTGATTTGTTTTCTTTCAAAGTAAAGTTTTAAAGGTATTTAAAGACAAATATAATTGCAAATTATATTTAAAAAAACAAAAAACAAAAAAAAAAACTTTTATTAAGTTTTTGCCTTCGCACATATTTTGGACACTTCATGGAAAAGTGAAACGCCGATCAGAAGTACGATATATTCGCTTTGCAACTGCCACAGTTCTGTTTTTCACTAATTTACAATTTTCTATCGTTAATGAGTACATGGCTAATTATAGTTATAATACTGAAAGTTAGTTGTAATGATGAACTATAGAATGCTGATTTGCTTGTTGTAAAAGGTTTATCAATACTTTCTGAGTTTTAGATTAATTGTAGGGTTACATCATTAAGGAAAAAACTACCAGACATCTGTTTGTTTATTTTCTCTCAGACCATACAATGGTATATGAGGTACATGAACATATTTACATTTATACAAAATACAAAGTCAAGTAAGAAAGAGTAGTATCAAATGAAAGAGTATTACTGAAAACAGGCCAATATCTTTTTAACAAACAAAGACAGCTTTATCAGTGAGTCAACATTTGTGGTGGACATAAGATTCTCAAACTTATAAGTATTTACATGAAAACAATACTTCTTATCAATAAGTTTCATACGTAATGAGGAAAAGTAAGGACACTCCATTACATAATGGAATTCATCACCTAAAGTATTTTT